AATGATTTCTCTCGGCTAGAATTAATCACAAAGGCAACAATCTTATTGTCCTGTAGAACATTAATAAGCTTGGGCTCTAACTTAGTGATTGTATTCCAGCATTTTTTTTCCCTTTCACTGATATATAAATACACTGTATACATACACACACACATATATACATAAACATACTGATGCCGGGGTTCTTGTTTGCAAAGTTGAAGAATGAACTTAACAAACACTCAAGGTAGGAGAGCCAGGGAGAGGGTTTTATTTAGACATAAAGTGAGAAGACAGAGCTCCTGGCTCATGTCAGGAGGGGACAAGACAGCCGGGGGTGGTGCTTTGTCTAGGGGATTTATAGGCAGTTGAGAGACAGGGCTAGGGATTCAGACTTGCCAGATGGTCCCAAAATGTTTATTTTTGAAAAGATACTAAGTTTCTTATCAGAGTGTTATTCTTCAAAGTTAGCTTAACACAAGAAATTTACTGCTTTTGTCTGGAAGCATATTAATCAAGACTGTTCTGCCTTGCCTTCAATGTGGGCTGAGTAATTGTCTGTTTGATTGAAGTGCAATCTTAGCTTTACGATAGAATTTTTCCTGAGTAAGCTGGGCCTTTGAGTAGGTGCTAAAGTAAATCTTATAATGGTGTGTTCTAATTGATACAGTGAAAATATAGGTTCTGCTAAGATACTTTTCTTTTTTGGGGAGTATTCAAACTTCTAGGTCAAGTTGCTCTTGGCTTTTTAGTTTTAACTAATCTCACTGAAGAATGCTTATGTTCCTAGTTTGGTATTTTTACTTTAGAGAATTAATGTGACTTTGGCTTTGCTTAATTGTTTAACATAGAGTTTTGGTAGGGGTCATTTTCTGGAGGCCCTCACCCTACTCTAAGCCCATGCTTCCTGTCTCAGTACCAGGGTCTCTCGTATCTCCCTCTGAACTAGCTTTACATTCTTCTGATTACATTACTAATAAGCTGAATACACCTCTGAAGCATGCTTTCTATATACTTGTATGAGAGTCATCTTTTTTAACTTTTTGCGATTTATACTCTGACACTGACAAGAGTTAATTCCTCCTGTATTCCCTGAGTCCTTACCCTCTTCAATCTCCTAATTATGTGGGCTTGAAATCTTAGACCTATTCCAATTCTCTTCCCTTACTCTTCAAACAAATCAAGCTGCCTATCTCACTGGTTTCACTCCCACAGCTTCCCTTTGAGACATCCCCTCTACCATTTCCATGACTACTGTCTGAGGTTGAGTCCTTGTTCCCTTTTCTCTGAACTTTTACAACAGCTCTGACTAGTTCTTTGTAACCAATTCAATCTACATAAGGCTGCTAGAAAAATATCCCCAAGGAAGAGGCTCCAGTCATTTCACTCTCCTACACAAAGCCCTTGGGTGGTTCCTCATTGTTCAACAATAAAGGGAAGCCCCAGTTCCTTACTCTGAGTTTGAAGGCCCTCCAAACCCAAGCTTATCTTCCTTGGCTTCTCTTTATCCTTCTCCCCTCCATTTCTGTGCTCTGTACACTCTCTTCGCCTTTCTTCATGTTGCCCCTGCACCTACCACCCGCTCTGTTCTGCTTCTCTTGTCCAAACCTAAGTGTTCTTTAACGTCCCACTTGAAGCTTTATAACTCTGATCGCTTAAGCGGAGATTAGTTTCTCTTTGCTCTGAATTCCCAGCACATTTAATTTGTGTCCCTTTTATGACACATACCACTTTCTGTTACCTTTATGAACCTTTCGTGGCCTCATTGTACACCATCTATGGTCCAACTTTGTATCCATATTATTGTCGAACTGCACTAATAGATAAAGAATGCTGGTAAAAATTTTTGAGTGGGAGCTGCTGAAAGTTAAAATCTCAACTGAGCAAGTAACACCAAATTATTTTTTTAACTATAATCTCATCAAAGTATTTTTCCCAAACTATCTTTTGGTCAGTGTTTTTTCCCTCATTTAAAAACAATTAACTATTTAATATGAAAAGGGGAAAAATAAATTTCTCTTGTGGGGGGGACTTGGTGAAGGGGGGAGTCTAGTAAACATAATGTTCTTCATGTAATTGTAGATTAATGATAACAAAATGAATATAAAAAAATAATAAATAAAAATAAGATTTCTCATTACAATGTGTCAAGTCTCAGCAGTTAACTATTCGGTGTTATTTATTCATTAACAAAAATGACACTTTTCCATGTGGACATGCTCACTACAAAGGCTCCTTAATACAAGTGTTCATGTAGCCCTAAAATCTTTAGTTGGTCTTTTAATTAATTAAGAAAATACAGGTGATACATACTTTTCTTTTAGCTGGGAGGGATATCGGTGTCTAAATCCTGGCCACCCCCCAGATCGGTCAGGGTGAAGGAAGGCATGACGTATCTGCTCTTCGCTGCCTCATGGCGCATCACAAAACAGGGTTCCTCCCAATGAATGGTTTCTCACTGGTGTCACTTGAAGAGTTTATTACAAAAGTATATTCCAACACCCACCCAAATTCTGAAGCTTTGGGGCTAGATCTCCAAGAATCTTGACAATTTTTGTGCACCCCGAAGGTTATGAATTACAGGCTGAACTCTCATCCTCTTCTAAACTGAGAGAGCAGAGTCCTCTATAGAACTGCCCCCGTGCACCTTAAATAAACCAAGAGAGTTGAAAGAGTCTGTCCATCTTCTCTCCCCTCTCAGAGTATCCTTTTTCTTTATAATTGTCTCTCAATATTTTATTTTGAAAGTGTTAAAACACACAGGAAATTTAAAATTTAAAGAAAGGACGGTGGGCACACGCATACTACACCATGAACATGTTCCCGTCTTCACCTTATCACAAGTCTTTCCTTTTAACCATCTCTCTATTCATCAATCCATCTTAATATTCTGGGTGAATTCCAAAGCAAATTTCAGGTATCAGTAGCCTCTAATTTGGGATGATGGTGACTTGAAGAAAAGCAGGCAATGAATCCATGTGCCCTGGTGAAAATACAGCGGCCTCTTTTCACTGGCCAGGATTGGTAGCTGCTGGGCCAGGGCAGGATATTTAGAACATATTTAATCAACGACTAGGATAGGTTTGGCTAGCTGTGGACGACTCCCACAGAGTGGTATCTGTTTGTCTCTATTCATGTGAATGGTAGCTTTTGTTTTGTTACTGGAAGAAGAAAGGGAGGTTTGGAGCCTTGGAGAAGAGAAGATTAAACAGGGAAGCAGATGGCAGTGTAACCCCTTCCCTCTTCCGTGGGTTCTGAGGCCCTGATGGAGAGACGGCTCAGAGGCCGAGATGTTCTTTCTGCACAAGGTTGTGAGTCAAACTGCGAAGGCCTGCACTCTAGCTGCCTCAGGCTGCTTGAAATACTCAGCCTTTGGCCACAGTTTTCTCATCTGTAAAATCAAAGTAATGACAGTACCTGCACTATATTGTTGTGGAGAAAATACATGTGCCTGACATGTCACTCATCAACTTCCGTGGTTAAAATACAATTACATTTCTTGATCAGTTTCCTTTGGTTCACACCAAATTAACCTGCAATCGTAGCAGATGGTGAGCAAGAAAGAAACAAACTAAACGATTTTGACAAGTAAGCCTAAAAGGAAATCATGGAGATGCAGGAGGGAACAATCTTCTAGACCACCCATCGCACTTAAAAAGAAACCCTCCACCATCAGTAAAACAAAAAGTCATCCTACAGTATGGGAGAATATATTCTTAAATGACATATCCAATAAGGGGTTGATACCCAAAATACATAAAGAGGTCACATGCCTCAACAACCAAAAAGCAAATAAGTCAATTAAAAAATGGGCAGAGGATCTGAACAGACACTTCTCCAAAGAAGAAATTCAGATGGCCAACAGGAACATGAAAAGATGCTTCACATCACTAATCATCAGAGAAATGCAAATTAAAACCCCACTGAGATATCACCTCACACCAGTTAGGATGGTCAACATCCAAAAGACAAAAAACAACAAATGCTGGCGAGGATGTGGAGAAAACACTGCTGGTGGGAACGCAAATTAGTTCAACCATTGTGGAAAGCAGTATGGAGGTTCCTCATAAAACTAAAAACATAAATACCATTTGACCCAGGAATTCCACTTCTAGGAATTTACCCTAAGAATACAGGATCCCAGATTCAAAAAGACATATGCACCCCAATGTTTATCGCAGCACTATTTATAATAGCCAAGATATGGAAGCAACCTAAGTGTCCATCAGTAGATGAATGGATAAAGAAGACGTGGTACATACAGACAACAGAATATTATTCAGCCATAAGAAAACAAATCCTACCATTTGCAACAATATGGACGGAGCTAGAGGGTATTATGCTCAGTGTAATAAGCCAGGCAGAGAAAGACAAGTATGAAATGATTTCACTGATCTGTGGAGTATAGGAACAAAGCAAAAACTGAAGGAACAAAACAGCAGCAGACTCACAGAACCCAGGAATGGACTAACAGTTACCAAAGGGAAAGGGACTGGGGAGGGTGGGTGGGAAGGGAGGGAGAAGAGGATTAAGGGGCGTTATGATTAGCACACATAAGGGGGGTATGGAGAAGGAAGTACAGCACAAAGCAGCTTACTACGCTGATGGACAGTGACTGTAATGGGGTATATGGTGGAGACTTGGTAATAGGGAGAATATACTAACTACAATGTTGCTCATGTGAAATCTGAGCATAAGATTGTATATCACTGATAACTTGATAAAAAAAAACAACCCTCCAATTTCTTCCTCCGCTCTGCAAGGCCCCACCGACATTCGGCCTCTGCCTGCTTCTCCAACTTCATCGCCTCTCCTACCCCCTTAACTTAGCTCTTGACACCCCAGCCCGGTTTCCGAAGGAGCCTGACTCCTTCGCTATCAGACCCCTCGCTCTGCCGACTCGCTGCGCACGACAGGCGTTCCCCAGACCTTTGCGAAGGAGGTTGCTGAGGGAAGGGGCTCCGGGCGGAGGGGGCGGAGCCTTGTGGGGGCGGGGCTGGAGCAGGAAGCGGGGGCGGGGGCCCAGGAAGTGACGGCCCCGCTCGCGGACTTGCGGAGTCGGTGAAGTCCGCAACGCCAGCTGAGCTGCGGGCGCGTTCCTGGGCCCTGGGCGATGGAGAATGGAGCGGTGTACAGGCCCACCACGGAGGAGGACCCGGGCCCCGGGAGGGGCGCCCGCAGGGGCCTTGCCGCCTGCTTCTCCCTAGGCAAGCTCAGGTGGTATCGGCGCGTTCTCAAAGCCTTGCAGTTGGTGAGTTCGCGCAGGGCGGCGAGCCTGGGCCGGGGCGGGGGTCTGGCGCCGGGCCGTCCGCCTGCGGGCCCAGAGGCCTCCGGGCCTTCTCCCCTCAGCCTGGCGCCCTGGGAAGCGGCGGTTGCCACACCCCAGTTCCTCTCCGCCGCGCCTGGGTCGGAGGCGTTACCCTCCGGCCCCTCCCCGCCGCCCCGTGCCCCTCGTCCCCCTCGTGGGTCCCCGACGACCACCTAAGAGCCACCGAGCTGTTAGGCGGGTCCAGGAAATGCGTCGGGGAGGGTCCGAGGCAGCCACTGGGGCTTCGTTCACTTGCTTTCTGTAGCGCCCTTCGTCTCCTCCAGTGGTTACGCTGCGTTATCGCCCAGAGTGCCTATATTTAGACCACAAAGTGCTTTTCCTTTATATTTCTCTGGTTCTTGTGGTTTTCCGGGTGCGAGCCCATGGAGGCAGTTTAAGTTGTTGGGACAAAGTGTTCCGATACCACGCGTGGCCTTGAGATGTGTGTGTCCAATAAATTGCCTCCCACAATTCTTATATTGACTGGAGAATTATTTCTGAATGAGCAGTAGGTGTACACAAAGTATAAAGTCAGAGGGACAGCCTTTTGTGTTTTGTTGCTCTTAGCAAAACGAGGGCATCATGCACTTATCTTTCAACTTTACTGAGTTTCAATTTAGGCTGTTCAGGTGCCTTAAACCTCTTAGCGAAAAAATCAAAACATCTCTGAGATTTTTTTAGTTCAGATTACACACATACTGAGTAACCCAAAGAGGAGCAATATTTTCTGCAACAGAAAAATCAAACTGCTTAGAATGTTTATGGATTTTTTTTTTTAACCATCCCAAGTAAAAATAGCGAATTGGTTTCCTTGGGAAGAACATAACTTCATAGAACTCAGATAACCAGAACTTACCATTTTCTTAGAACTCAGATGACCTACTTTTATTGAATAGAAAAGTAGCAGCAGGAAAACTGGTGCTACTTTTTAACCACCAAAATAATCACTTCTAGGAATACTTGGGAAATCATTTGAAGGCAAGTGGTCATGTAACCTGTGGGTCCCAAAAGGGCCTGGCTCTCTGGCTTCAGCCTCTTTTCAAGTAATTTTATCAGGCATCAGGAACTCTGTCCTGTCATTGTCCCTTTGTGCCCTGTTCCTTCTGCCCTTCCTCTTAATGGCTCTCACATGACTTTTAGATATCAACATTGTTTCTCTGCAGTAGAGCTAAAATATTGCTTCATGTATTCTGGTACTCTTTAGAAAAGAAAAGAATTTTCTGTTCATCTGACACATTCTTGCTGCTGAAAGACATCACTGTTGATCTGCTGTCCATTACATCTATTTTCAGTTGCCTTTATTTTTCTTAATTAGAAATGGCAAAGCTAAAGTCAACTTTCTCATTACCTTCTTTATAGTTGAGTAAACCATAGTTCCGTATTTTTGGAATAGAATATAACCAGAAATTTGGGTGGTAAGCTTTTTACTTGCATGTGAAGAAGAAGGGAAGATGAATTTGTCTTGCAAGGGCTGGTAGACTATTCCGTTGTTCTCCATCATCCGTAAGGAGAAAGAATGAAATAATAAAAACAAATGTCTCTTCTTGATGCCCATTTATTTGTTTATGAGGAACTAATGTTATTAGAATGCCTTCTTCACATAGTGACTCTGGCATCTTGCTGAACTGATGGACAGTGACTGCATTGGGGTATGGGTGGCGACTTGATAATATGTGTAAATGTAGTGACCACATTGATTTTTCATGTGAAACCTTCATAAGAGCATATATCAATCATACCTTAATAATAAAAAAAAAGAATGCCTTCTTTAAAATAGATTAAAAATTTTTTTTCATTGTTGCCATTTGTTTTTGTGGTTATCTTTTTATCCCTGCTTTGTCTGTTGAAATAATGTCTCTTCACAGTACTGTATTACATGAGTTTCCCAGAAAGTCCCAGGGAAGTTACTCATGAAGTAAAGTAAAACTCTCATCCAGCCTGGGGACACAGGCCAAGCATTCTTTGCCTTAACTCAAATTCTGACTTTAGGTAACTTACTTTTAAAAGTTTAATTGAATTACGAAGCTCCAGTAAGGAAACAACTGTAATGGAGAAAACCGTAATCAGAAGAGAGGGTACTTTCACAAGGGACTTGCGAGACTTTTGGTATTTTATTCAGAATGTCATGCGTTTTTGTGTTTGGGTCTGGACTCATAAACCTTATCAGATTCTTAAAACCGGAAAGAGAAAGGAACCTTACTCTAATACATAAAGCCAGACATCGTGTTCTTAGGAAATTCTCAGAGTCCTAGGAGGTTGAATTGGATTTCCTCTGAGGTTCTTTCCAGTCTTTAAGATTTTTACAACTGTCTGAAGCCCTTTGGGGTATGCTGCTGGTACAGAGCTGAATACCAAAGGGGTAGAGAAGGCTTGCCTGCATAAGGAAAGGGAGGTTACAGATAAATAAGCTTAACTACATACTCTTGAGTTATATGGCTGTGTCTACTATTATTCAGATATGACCTTAATTTTGTCAGAGGCTTGTACAAAACATAAGTGTCCCCTCAGCTACTATGTACCCTTCCAGAGCTGAAGAAGAAATAAAAGTCTCAGTGGAGAATTAATGTAAGGAGTTATTGCAATCCTAAATCTGTGCAGTTTGTTTATTTATTGTTTTTTTCTATCCTTGGATTGGTCCTTATGCCAATAGTTTATTTTGTGAGGTCTTATTGTCATCGTTCTTTTCAAGCATGTTTGTTTCTGTTTTAAGGGGAGAATTGACATTTGGCAACCTAATTCCTTGCTAGTAAGCTGATGCAATGATTTAAATACATGTAAATATTCTCTCTGCAGCAAGTTGACATTGTATTTATCATACCAGTTGAATGTCCTGATGGCCGCACAGTACTGTGATTATAATAACTTAAGGCAAGCAAAGTTTGATTTAGGATTCTCCAGTGATTTTAAATTTATTAAATTATAAATAATGTTACTCTGTAAGTGCCAAGAAACAAACCACTTGGAAGCAGTTCATCTTGGTGCTCTTTTCATTATTTAAATGTGAAAATTGATATGTACTAAATTGAAATGCTCTTATTACCTTGAGGAAGATCCATAGTGTCAGCAAATTATATCTTTGGACCTCCGTGAGAGTAAATGTTTGCCTAAGGCAAGGGAGACCAGCCAGCTATTCAGACCAACAGATTTGTTTACTGGAACCTTATATTTGACTAAGAAGTTTTTAATAGAAATTTGTTTAATTAACAAATTAATATAATTTTATAGGTGGATTCTAATAATAGCAAACATTAGAAAGTACTCTTTTTGTAAGAAACTTTCCAGTGGAAGAATGTAAAGACAACTGATTGGGAATTATTATTTAATATATTGACTTAATTTTAAAGAAGATTGAAGTTTCAGAAAAGGTAGTGAAACTGAAATGGAGAGAGACACCGGGTAGTCATTATCTGAATGTTCAAATCTGCAGAACTGTAAGACCATCTTGTAGTCTCTAAGACTTTCCAAATGTGTAGCCTCTAGCACTTAGGTTTTAATGTATGATTTACCAGCAAAAAGGGAAATGCACAAAACTAGTTGTTACTTCAAAAACCCAATCTTACAGGGAAACCTTACATGAGTAGTCATAAAATAACCTTAATAAACAGTGTTTAGGGGAGTCAGGAGACCTGGGCTCTTGTCTGCCTGGCTAACTTGGGATTTAGCTTATAAGAGATTAATTCCATCATCTGTAAATAGGATGGGCAACTTTGTTCTCCAAGGGCCCTCCCAACTCTAAAAGCTTGATAATTCTCTTAATTGTATTTGTGTAAAATTTTATGTTATGTAGGAGGCACATTGGGCACACTGTTGTTAGGTACTTAGCTTAGTGCTAAGTAAGCAGTATTTAATGTGATGTCTTTATGCTGTTGAGAGTAAAACTGTTCACCAGAAAATAACAAATGGGTTACATTCACCGTCATTTCCTTACCCAATTCAGTGACTTTAACTCTTTCCCTATACTTAAAACCACTTTAATGCTGATCACAACCCATTTCTTGCAATTCTTCCTTTAGCTTTCACATTTCTTTTCTTTTTTAGTACAAAATGTGTCTGTTTACCAATGAATGAATGAATGAATAAATAATTAAAATATATGATTAAAATAAAATAAGACCACTTCACCTGTCACACTGTCACGCTTGCCAGTGTCCCTCATCGACCGACAATTTGGGGTACGTTTACTGCTCTTTAAGAAGTTTTCCTAAGAAGTGTTACACTTCCTGTGACTTGTCTAGTGCTAGTTGCCTTTTTCCCTCCTGCTCTTAGACTGTAACGTTCCTTCAGGCCCCACCCAGTCCTCTCCTCCTCCTGTCTTCCAACCAGCTGAACCAGGCAGGCAGTCCCTGTTGCCTTCTGGAAGTCTGTATACTCCCTGCTGTGATCATCACATAACCGCACCCAACTCCTTAGCCATTTTTCTCATGAGTCCCCATCCATGTAGGTCAGCTGCCTTATTATCCCTTTTGGGCTCACCATGCAAGTACTTGCCCTCCTGAATCAATTCTTTTCCGTCCCCCACCTGGAATGTCTTCTCCCTATCCAGATCTATGTATCTCTTGGCCCTGTTTTAAGTTTTGTTCTTCTACTCATCATCCAGCTATTACTCCAGGTAGATCCAGAAATTTCCTGGACTTACAGTGAATGCTTAGTCATGAGTTATAAAAAAAAATGGTTTTCTTGTTCATTTATCTTGTTGCTCTGTCATTACATATTCCTATACGTATTGTAGTGTTGGATACATAATACTCAAATACACTTAAAATTTTTTTAATTTGAGGTGTAATCTATAAAATAGTTTTAGGTATACAACTTAATGATTCTGTATTTGTATATATTATGAAATCACTTATTTCATGCCAGAGACTATAATGCTGTGGGAGATTATAAATGAAGGTTAGTAGCATCAGAGATGAGAGTCAGGAGATTTCATATGGAATATAGCTTGTAGTGCTAATTTCTTGGACTTTAACTGGGAATAGGAACTAGTAAATGTCCAAACTTTATATTGTACCCCTTCAGTCTCTTAAGGTAGTCATGTAGAACTAGCCTCTTCATATTTCTCTGAGGCTTAATCAGGTCAGTAAGAATGACTCCTGTTAGAAAGTTTGGAACCGAACTTGACCCTGATTGCTTCCGGCCTAGCTGGATCCTGCCCTTTCTTACCCAGAATAGACAAGCAGTCTGTATCTATACTACAGGTAAGATTTTATTGTCATATAGCCTACACAGATGAGTGTTCCTGATGATCTTAATTATTGTAATAATGGTTTGAGATCAGCTGTTGTTAGACCCCAGTTACAGTTTTAGGCTGATACCATCTCACAGTTTGACTTTTCTATACCTGAGGGGTATTTTGCAAATTTCTCATAGAAAACCACCTAAAACTTGAACAAGATTTAACATAGAGGCAAGAATAAAGGACAGGAATGTAAGACAGTTAGTTACTATTTTATTGTACTGTAGTTCTGTAAAACTCATCCTGTAATTATAACTACAGGAGACTAAGCACTTTTACAGTGCCCCTCTGGGATTTGTCTTGGTGTGTCACTTTATGTCCTGTGATGTAGTGATTGGGAATACCTCACCTGACATTTGTGTGAAAGTTGTTTGGGATATACTCGACTATTTTACACCTCACTGACTTACAGGTAATCATAGCAGCAGGATCTGTTTTCATCCTTACCTAGATTTTTTTCAGTTGTGGGGATATATGAATTTTGTATTGCCAGTAGGAGGGAGGAAAATCCCTTAAGGGCTTAGATAACAATTTAGATTAGATCTTTTCTTTTTAAGCTTTTTATTTTGAAATAATTATGAATTTACAGGAACTTGCAAAGAGTACTGGGAGGTCCTTTGCACTGCTGTGTGTGTTTATGTGCATGTGTGTATATATACGTATGTGTGTACTTCTGTGCAGTTTTCAACACGTGGAGCTTCCTGTAATTACAACAGTTGGGATACAGAACTGTCCCATCACCACAGGGGTCCTTCATGCCACTCCTTTATAACCCTCCTTTCCCTTCTCCCCTGGCCACAACTAATTAGTTATTCATCTCTGTAATTTTTGTTATTTGAAGGATGCTATTATAAATGGACACATGCAGTATGGAACTGTCTGAGGTTGGATCTTTTTCTGTTTGCGTAATTTGGAGATTGATCTAGGTGGTGGCATTTATCATGTTTGTTCCTTTTAATAATTAAGTAGTATTCCATGATGTGTCTGTACCACAGTTTGCTTAACTGATGGTTTCCAGTTTGGGGCTTTTACGAATCAAATTGTTGTGAATCCTTATGCATCCATTTTTGCCCAAATCATAAGGTCTTGTATCTCTGAGTCTTACACACAATGTAGGCAGGCAGTTGTTGGGTCATATGGAAGTAGCATGCTTAGTTTTTTAAGGAACTGCTAAACCGTTTTCCAGAGCAACTGTAACATTGATCTCTTTTTGATGAAAGTATTATATAGAATAAAATTTTTATTATATACTATGAAATATATGTGTTGATTTTTGTAGCAATCTTGTTGCCTTTAATATATTTGGTTGCTTCTACTGGCCTGACAGGTGAGAGGCATTTCCTGACAGGCTTCGACTTGGATCATCAGTCATTTTTTGATGTTTTTAACAATCAGAAGGAAACTCCCTTAGCTTCTACAAAACCCACACAAACTGCCCAAGTGAACTCTCTTCCCTCTCTTCCTTCCTATTTCTAAAGAAGAGTCAACCCCAAACCTAAGCCCTAAATCCTACCTTTAGGGAGCCTCTTTTCTCCCTCTGTGTTTAGACCCACACATCTTATGGCTTCTGCCTAAGCATTTAAACATGCTCAGTTTCCTGCCCCGGTCTTGAAGTTCCCTTCAGCCTCATCCTCTGTATCCTATCTGACCACACTTCTTGACTCTGCTGTCTCTGTTCCCCTGCCTTGTCTTCCTGTCACTTTCCAAGAGGCAGTACTGTAATTACTATATTACTGTTGTTACTAAATAGCAACAATATTCTCTACCTGACGACACTGAAAATGTCTTGCTGATGTCACCAGCAGCTCTCTTGTAGCTCAGTCCAGTGTGTTTCGGTTCCATTCTTACCAGACCTTTAAGTAGCATTCAGCCCTCGATCGCTTTCTCATTTGAGAGATACTTTTTTCTTGGTCTTTTGCCCCATGGACTGTTGCTCCTAATTGTCCTTTGCTGGTATCTTCCCCCTCTGTTTATCCTTTAAATCTTGGGGTTCCTCAGAGTTCTGTGCAATAGCTGGCTCTCTGGGTGAGCTCACTGCCTTACTCCCACATTTCTTCTCCACCTTAGACCTCTCCTTGGACTCCAGGCCCATCTCTACCTAACTCTTCCACAGACCCCTCATACACAGTGTACTTAAAACTGCGTTTATGCTCTCCCCAGCAACCTTGCCTTATGAAAAGGAAAGAGGGAAAAAGTCTTTCTCCAGGAGGCACCAGTATGTCAATACCACAAACACAGCAGAGAGAGCCTGTTAAAACCCATTTGCATTTAATTGAGTTCCCAATTGACCAGGGTTACCAGTGCAGTTTAGGCATTCAGTGTGAGGCATTCTGACCCCTTGCGTGTCACAGACACCCTGGCGAGGAGGCCCCTCTTGAGTCCTTTTACCTCTGTCATCAGTTGACTTGTGTTAGTCCCAGACTAGTTGATACAGTTACGATTGTTATGGTCAAACATTCAATTAAATATTACACACACATCAAAACTGAATGTTGAATTATTTCTCTGAAACTAAATTTGAGTGCTTTGGAAAGATTGGAAAACAGATTACTAAAACATTGTGAGAGGCTAATAACTGAAGGATTCTGCACGCTGTTTCCCAGGTGTCCGAGATCTTGCCAACCCTCTTTAAGTAGCAGCAGTCTGAACGTGGTAGCTATAATTGATGAAAGTGATTAATGCAGAATACATGATGTGAAATTCCTGTCATACTCAAAGAAAGGCCCACTTCAAAAGATTGGTGGATGAATGGGCCTTTTTTGTTTCACATTAAAATACAGTGTTGCCATGTTTACTGTTTCCTACTCTGTCTTCACCCTTTGCCCAGGGCTCTACTGCATCTTCAGTGATTAGCCACACTTCTCCCCTCCCCTCTTCTACTGCTGCTTTGATCTCTCTCTTTCCTCTGATTTTCTCCCCAGCTGGATGTCTGCCCCAAGTTTTGCCCTCCCTCCAGTCCTCTGTCCGTATCGAAGCTGTAGAGAGCTACTACAAGTGTAAACTTGATCATGGCAGCCCTTTGCTTTCAAACCCTTAAAGTCCAGATTCCTTAAGCCAGTAGAAGAGGATTTTCAGATCAGGCCTCTGCTTGCCTCTTTAGTCTCCTAGTCTCATTGGATCATTTTTGGGCCGCTGTTTGCTTCCTTCAAAGTGCACACTTTAGCCATGTTGACTCAGCTTGCTTTCCCAGATCAGGTGGGCGGTGGGATACCTGTGTGTGCATTGAGGTGGGGGGTGCCGTGATCTCTCACTCTAGGTCCTTTGGTGTACTGCTGCTGTCTCTGGAACTTCTTCCCCTGTCTTTCACTCCCAAAGTGACCTCACTCCTTCAGGGTTCCGCTTTCCTTCAGGAAGCCTTTCTGGAAGCCCAGGCTGATCACCTCTTCTGTGGGCGTTTCCCCTAGTCTAGCAGTTAGTACACGGTACTTAGTTAGCAATCAGCCTAAGCTCTGGGTAGGTGAGGTTCATTCAGTATAACCTTGTTTGCTGCAGTCCCCACTTAATACATGTTTAGGTGAATAGATGTTGTTTTCTGTGGGTGAATACTGTACATTTTGGAAGACACTGAAGTAATGCGTTGTTTCTTTTGTAGGTGTTTTCTTTGCTGGCCTTTATCTGTGAGGAGGTTGTATCGCAATGCACTCTGTGTGGAGGACTTTACTTTTTTGAATTTGTCAGCTGCAGTGCCTTTCTTCTGAGTCTCCTTATACTGATCGTGTACTGCACCCCAGTTTATGACAGAGTTGACGCTGGAAAAGTAAAGTCATCGGTAAGCATGAAAAAACACAACCCCTGTATTAGGAACAGAGCTGCTTTGGTGTCTTCTATAGTTTTATTGTTCAAAATAGTAATGCTTTCAAAACTCAGTAACATGAGACACTATCCAGTGTGCCACGTCTGGCTCCAAGCAACTCAGTTTTACCTGCCAAACGGGATGGTAGATCGATGGGGAAAGCAAAATTACAGTGAGAGTGATAAACGCTGCCCAGAGCTTATGGTTATTGGTGGTTTAATTCACATAAGATATTTTTTTTTAAACTAGGATTTTGTTACTTTAGCTTTCTCACATTTCCGAGTGTCAGTCATTGGTTCTACAATTATTTATTGTGTACCTGTTATGTGCCAGGCATTCTACTAGACAGTAGAGACAAAGTCATGAACAACTATGATATATTTCTGGAACTTTTAAATGAAACAGCATGTAATTCTACTTCGTTTTGATTTTACAATGAAAAAAAGTTGCCTGTAAATGGATAAAGAATTGTTGAATTCATTGTTTGGAAATTTCCCTTTTAATAAAAGTGTACATGAGAATTCTATTTTCACAGAACTAGGGACTCATAACTTTCTGAAGATTCAGTCTGCTGGCCCTGTGTTTTTATTTGAGTAATAATACGGATTTGTGAGTTGACAGATAATTCACAAGTTACTGTATTAAAGGAAGAAAGAATTGAGCAGTTTGCTTCTTCAGTAGCATCTGAGTGTCTGTGGTGGTTTTTGAAGAAGTGTACCTGTCAGGATCGACATGTGAAGGATTGAACATCTCTGAGGGAAGAGATTAAAATTAAGACAGATTCGTAACGATTAAGAACAAGAGGCAACAGGATAAATACAAAGTAGTGTGATTCTATTGTTTTAAATTAATGAGAAGCAAGCATTGAGTCATACATTGATTATACACCTAAGACATTTACTTTTTTCTCTATACCCTTTTGTACCACTTAAATTTTGTGCTTTGGGAATCTATTACTTTCTTTTAAAAGAATTGTTTTAAGTTTAAAACTTAAAAAGGCAGAAGTTGATATCAAACAGTTAAAAAAATAACTGGGAAGAACAGGTGGAGTCTGAATCAAATCCATCAAGCCTTTGATGAGCGCATACATGCAGCTTGGGTGTATGACATGGTATGGCCAACATATGACTCTTCCATGATCTCACCTGATACGAGCTGCTGGTGGTGCAACTGTGTGCCATCACTGTATGTGCTGTGACTAGAATCCTCACACCCTAATGCTCCATTTGTCTGTTGAGCGAACTTAGGTTCGGGATGGTTTAAGTACCTTGTCCAAAGTCACACAGCTAGGGTAAAGTAAACTGAGAGTTGGCCCCAGGAGAGTCCTCACACCTGCGTTCTGCCATGGGGCCTGGGCAGGGTCCTATTAGAACCAATGCCATGGCAGGTGTTGTCATCACAAGAATGGCTATGTAATGATGACAACAAATTTGTTTTACGAAGCAGATGTTAAGAAGAGGATGCAGAGAATACCTTAGACTTCTTGTTAATTGTATTTGTAATCTTTGAAAATTCTACCTTTTTACAGATTCATATGTGATGAGATTTGGACAGTGAAAAAGTTCACTAGTATTTGAAATGATTGATTTGTAGTTTGTGTAAATCATGTTTTAAACATTAAAGACTGAATATTACATCATCTAATTTATCAACAGCAAAACACCCATAAAAATATTTTTAGAAATATTTAGTTTTTTAGTGCTACTACACGTGTAAACCTGATTATGGCATCCCTTTGCTATCAAACCTTTAAAATCCAGATTCCTTAAGCCAGTAGAAGAGGATTTTCAGATCAGGCCTCTGCTTGCTTTAGTCTCCTAGTCTCTTTGATCTTTTTGAAAAGGAACAATACTGTAGTATTTTCCAGTGTAGTGTAATGGTCTGAACTAAAAAAAAAAGGTAAAACATTTATTATGTCAAACTTGGGCATTTAGAAAGTTATTTATTTTAGGGTAAATATTGGAAAAATTAAAACAAATCAGTCATTTCATCCTGAAACATCTTTTGTAAATTTACCATATTTCTTTGGGTCATTTGTTTCTATTCCTGGGCAGTATTTAACATTTAAAATAGTTGTAATCATAAAGTATAATTATTCTACTTTCACTTGACATCATGAGATTTCATGTCTTTTTTAAAGGTTTAAAAGTTACTTCACTGTCAGCATACTAATGTACTTTAACTTTAAGGTTTTTTAATGCAGTAGAGGTTTTGTTTTGGAGAAAATGTTTTGAGTGTGTGATGGTGGTCGTGTCTAGGGAGGAATGATAATCCTTTTGAAGAGAGAATCTTTTCTATCTCATGCTGTTGGGGGGCAGATTCTATTAAGGATAACAATAACTGACATTTATGGAACATTTACTACAGACCTGGCACTATCTAAGCACTTTCTATGGATTAATTCTAATCTTCAGAATCAGCTGTAAAGAAGCTACTGTTACTACTCCCATTTTGCAAATGAAGAAGCAAAGGCACACAGGTTGAGTAACTAATTCAAAATCATATATAGCTAGGAAGTAGTGTAACTGGTATTTGAACTCAGTCTGGCTTTAGAAACCATGTTTATTAATGAGCACTATATTATTCTGTCTCAAAGTGATTGCCTTGTTTAAATACCTCTTTGAAAGTACTACAAATATTAGAGTTTTATATTGGTATGTAACAGATTTGAACTAATATTCAGAGGAATAGAAAAAACAAAGTACTGTGACCTCTCTTAGAAGTAAGGAGAAAATCTCTAAATATTTTAGAAATGTTAAAGTGAATGATCAACAATGTTGGATAGTTTTACTGATACTAAGTTTAGGGGAGATTGCATTTCAAAAACTCAGAAAGTACCAGAGTTAAAATCCTTTGGCGTGGCTCTCACTTCACCAGTTTCTCCTCTAAATCAAATGTGGATGTTAAGTGCTGTTTGCAGTGAGTGTAGGAGGGTGCCAGGTGCTGGTGGCATGTGCCTGAGAGCCTTGGAGACCCACAAAGAGCCTCATCCTTGTAAACTGCCTGATGTTGAGATATGGTAGCTGTCTCATTTTGGATTACCTACTAGGAACAATTGAAAACAATGAGTTTTTCCAGAGAGCTTAAGTCTGAGAAACATACCATTCGCATCATTTTTTTAGTTAATGTGGGTGGTTCTTTTGATTCTTTTTCCAAAATGCTTTCAAAGCACCAAAGTAGCCTCAGAGAGGCCATCCTAGCATAGAATTCAGATCTTCCTTGACTTACAAATAGAGTTATAGCCCAATAAACCCATGACAAACTGAAAATGCACGCAATACGTCTGACTTTCCAACCCCCCCAGCTCAGCCCTGCTCAGCATTCTCTTGTTAGCCTGCAGTGGGCAGATTCTCCTCACACAAGCCTGTTAAAAAAAGTGCAGAGTATCTCGTGTAATTGATTGACTGCTGTACTGAACGTGAAACAGATGGCTTTTGGGTTCAGAATGGTTGTGTTTTGGTCTCTGACCCTTGTGATCACGTAGCTAACTGGGGCCTGCCTTGCTGCCACCGCGCAGCCTCACAAGGGAGGATTGAACTGCCTATCACCGGCCTGGGAAGCATGGTTTCTGCTGAGTGCATTATGCTTTTGCACCGTTGTAAAGTCGAAAAATCCTAAGTCAAACCATAAGTCAGGGACTGTCGGTACTTTGAAAGGGAAAACAAAAGCATTAAAAAAAAAATTTGCTGCAAATAAGATTCGATTCAATTAGTCTTTTGGCTTTGATTTTAATAAGTCCTAGAAAAAAAGACACACACACAATATTTTGGGGAACTGCTTTTATTAAAAGATTATCTTGTGATGTGCTTTCTGAACATACCCTATCCAAGGGGCAGCTGGGTTTCCTTTACAGGTTATTTATCCAGTACCAGGCTTACTGAAAAGCTAGAAATTGAAGTATGTAAGTTTGGGTTAAGAAAAAAAGTAAGTCATTAAAGTTTTTCAAAAGTTAAAAACCAAAGTATTTGTTTCCATCAAACTAACCATACTGTGTTCCTTATGTGCATGTATAGGATTTCTATATTACTTTGGGAACAGGATGTGTGTTTTTGTTGGCATCCATCATTTTCGTTTCCACACATGACAGGACTTCAGTTGAATTTGCTGCAACTGTGAGTACCGTGTATTTTTATCGTTACTTATTTTTGTTTCCTTACAAATACGAAGTATGGAAGTACATGACAAGCTATACAGCATGGGAGAGTACTTTGTCTTTTAACTTATTTTTTAGTGTAATTTGAATAGAAGACCTAAAAGCAAATAAATACAATAGCCTTAAACACCTAGAACCTGTCTTTAGAATTTGACTGGATTTTGTTAACAATTTACTCCACATTTGAACATGTTATTGCTAGTGAAAGTGTAGAATTGACTAACCTTGTATTTCTCCACATCTCAGCAACAAGAACACCTACATGCCAGGTGCTGTTCTAGGTGTAGAGAATAAACAGGAGAAATGACGCAAAGGCTCAGTCTAATTTAAGACATAGATAAGTAAAATGTTCATATGGAATCCTTGGGGGCCAGATTTTATTTTAGAATTCAGAATATTCTTTGACTTAGGAAGGTAATACTATACATATACTATATTACATAATACCTTCGGAGGGCCTGGGGCAGCACCTTGTAATCTAACAGTAATATTTCTGAAGCGTATGAGTATTCACAGAGAAAGGGATGGGTAAAGACTAAATGGTTTTACCTTGTGTTAATTTTGAACCAAATTATCCTGAAAACTGTGAGTTTTTGTAGCTTTGTGGATTTTAGAATTGTAAACAATGGGTCATACAGCACAGGTGGGAACATGACTAGATAACAAATCCTTGTGCATGTCAGCTAGTGTCCAATTAATACTTTTGTTCGACAAAATGGAAGTTGTAATTAATGAGTTGTCAGCTAATAGATCATTAAAACTACTTTTTGTGGTAGAACAACCCAAAAGGGGCTCAGAGAATTGCAGGGCTATCATGTGTCTACCTATTCATGTGTGCAAAGTTCCTTTGCACTTGCACATGCACAAACAAAAACAAAACAAAATTAATACTGAACTTGACTCATGTTAACAAAGGGATATTTATCCATGGATATATGAACCAATTGAAGAGAAAATTACAGTTTAGTAGAGCCTTATGGTTAATTTCAGTTTATGTGCGTATTTTTCTTAGGCACATTATAGGGTGGCCAATAAAATACTTCTGAGTATAAAAATATATTATTATGAAATCCTGTGAAGAAAGTGAAAAGATGTTGAGGAAAAGTTGAATTTAAGGGGAAAAAAGCATGGCATGATATCCCAGGTATTAAAAAATTATTTATATCTTAATTAGATGACATCTTAGATTTTTAAAATATTTAAGATTTCATTGGATATTTTTAAGGGTGATTGGCATTTTAAAAACTCAATATTTATAATATGCTGGAAGTTACCTTTAAAACTTTCAAATTAAGAAAAATTATATAGACTTAAATGAGTGAAGGAGTCCTTTAAAAAGTTGAAGTATGTGAGCAATATTGCTGTAAGATCATTTGTTGCGATCACATGGCACAGAGGGCCCTACGTGGACTGGAGTTCTCTGAGGTGTCAGAGGTGATGTCACAGACAAAGTGACATCTGGTCCGCCTTCAGAGTATTCAGGAAATTTGTCAGTCAAATCGGGATAGATGCCATCAAGCCAAAATAAAGACTGCAGAAGGGAGATACGATGTGGGGTTTCAGGGGTGGGACTGATAAATATAGGTTGGATTTGTTGGGGACACCCAGGTGAGTTAATGACTTTGCTTTTCACCAAGCAGTAGCAGAATGCGTATGTTTAGCGTGGAGGGGTTGGGCATGAAGGGACAAGAGCCTGCTGCAGACTATAACAAAGTATTAAAAATCATGGAGATAGAGTGTTAGACCTGGAAGGAACTTTAGCCATCACCTACATAAGTTGTCTTATGAGCACTTCTTAGGTCCCCATTTCCTTAAGGGCTTTGCTAGTGAAGAAGCTAAATTTGAAGCATGGTCTTCTGTCTCTTGACAGAATTCTCAGAATGTTTATCATATGGGAGAAGAGAACAATGAGGAAGTGATTTAAGAAAGAGGAAGTAGGTAGTGGCGTCATGTTGCTGTGTCATTACAGTCTGGCAAATATGTTTTAGGTAATTTAAAAGTATCTTCAAAATAGAATTTCTGTTTTGATATTTAATAACTTTTCCATTTTCAGCTTCCTAATCATGTATTTCCCTTTCTCATCTGTGGGTCAATCTAACCATTGCTAATAATCCTGTATTATTTTATAGGATTTTAGTTTTTATACTCTCAGTCTCATAGATTGGTAACCCACACATACACACATACATATATAAGACAGAATATTTGTATTTTAAAAGACTTTGATTAATAGCCATCATTCTGGAATTTTTTGTGTGTAACTTCTTTCCATTTTTTGATGACCTTAAAAAACTTTTTTATCACTAAAGTTAAGAATAATGTGTGAATGATAAAATGGATGAATCATCTTGCTAGTATAAAACACTCTCAGAGCCAAGTAGGAAATGTGAGATTCTGTCCCAGAATTACTCATTCTAATCTTTGCCCCTTTTTCCTTCTCAGGTATTTGGATTTCTAGCAAGTTTTATGTTCCTGTTTGACTTTGTCAGTATGCTCTGTGAGAAACACCATGAGCCTGAGCCAAGAAAACCTGAGGGTGTGACGAGGGGAGAGGCCGTCACTGAGCCACTTAATGCTTAGAGACGCCAGGGAGCAAATGCTAGCACAGTGTGGCGGCTGCATTCTGCCTGAGACAGGCAGATGCTCTTGTAGGATTTGTGTAATTGCTAAGCCACTTCCGGAGAGCAAAGAGAAGTGCAGGAAGGCATTTTTATTAACATTGGACTGTGTATCAGTCATCACAAATTTGGCCAGAGGGTTTTTTTGTTCCCTGAAATTTTTTTTATAATGGTCAAAACATTAAAATGGTTGAAAATGGTCAAATGAAGTTTGGTTTTTTATGATTTGGAGGTGAAGGCAGTTATTTCCTTAAATCATTTAGCTGAACTGATGATGCATTATTCTGTTGTCATTGCTAATCCTAATTTCAGATTTATGCTTTAGCGCTGTATGAACAGCATGATTAAGTTTATCCATTTAGAAATTATTTCTTTTTAAATTAATTTACGTAGCCATGAGTTTGTTTTTTGGTGATTAGATAAAATTTAATGTATATTTAAGGGACCAGTAGTCAAAATGTTGGTCTAAACTTCTTTCCTGAAAATATAATACCCAGGCTTTACTGTATCTAACTCAGCTTTAAAATTATATGGTAACATTTTAGGATAATTATTCTTAACTCTGAAACCTTTTGTAGCCTAATGGAAAATGTATGGGAGATGTTGGTATTTTATAAGTATAAAAGCAGCAACATCAGGAGCCCTGTGTTTATACCACACTTTGGTGGTGGTTGATACCTAGTAAAAAAAAATTTTTTTTTACATATAACACATAGAAAAACGGGAAAAACTAATACCATACCTAATGACCAAAGACAAGAAAGATACACTTTTTGTGCAATATAGTGAAAGTAATTACAAAAGCAGGCTTCCACCACTTGCTAAGTGTCTGAAGAGATGAGTTCATGTTGTGAGTTAGAAGATGGTCTGTTCCCCTTATTCACCTTAATCTTACTGACATAAGATTACTGCTCAGATTAATATAGCTCTGCAGGTCCTGTTCCATGTCTTCTTTGGCACCAATTTTCTTTTTAAAATCCCACCTTTCAATTTTTCATCTACTTGAGAGACTCCATTTGCTGTCTTATCAGAATGGCCCACACCCTGCTTCGTCATCCAGCAGAGGTGGCCCCCAGCTCTGACTTTCTTAATAGCAGTTGTCTTCCGGCCAGCTGGCCAGTATCCGGGGCCCTTCCCATTGCATAGAGTATATGGCAGGACCTTGAGGGCACTTGTTCCCACACAGGTGGGGCTCTGGTGTCTCTTTGGAGGAGACCTTCTTAAGAAAGGAATTTCTAGAGAATCTGCCCAGGTTAGTATGGTTGATGGTGTAAGAGAGTAGTCAAACCAGACCCTTTATAGCCAGTTCTGATGATTTGGAAGAGCTGAGTGTGCTGGCAGGCCATCTTAGAGCCCTGGGTAGGACCGTTCTGACCAAGTGGTTCATAGATGAGACCTTTCTTGTCCTCATACTAGATTTTTGACTGACTGGAGCCCCTCTTGTTAAGATGGCGAGCCCACACACCAGCTCCTTAGGTACTTTGGTGGAGGTCTCCTCGGGGGGTGGCTGAGGCTGAGGCGTTCTACCTGAGGAGTGGAATCAGATTTAAAATGAGACAATTTAGTGACCCCATCCTTTTAAAATTTCTTATCTGCCATATGTATGTGTTGTAGATGAGTTTCGCCTGCATGTATGTGGTGCATGTGTCTCTCAAAAATTGGTCATAATGGCGAGATACAGCTTCTCTTCTGTCTTACTGACTTAGAGTCTGGATATCAGCACTACTACTTACTTGGGAGATAATGAATGCTCTTTTTACTCTGACATGCCATCTAAGAGAGGAGAAATAGCCTGGGTCTTGGGTTCGAGAATAAAGACTGGTTCAAAGATGACCAGCTTATGGTAGGCAAGTTCTGCGATTTCACATCAAACTGTACCATTGTCATTTTAAATACCATACAGACTCAGCTGGGATTCACAGCAAACATCTGAGCTACTTCAGGGTCCCTGCACATGCATTGGGGAGTTGGATGGATAGACCCTCAGCTGGCCTCACGTGTATGCATGTTGGCATCGAGCTTAATAAAGCTCTCCTTGTCTGAGATTCCACTTCCATTTGTTGTTGGTATAGAAGTAGTTCTCTTAGCTGGTCACTTAGTCATTTCCTTTTCAGAAAGATAATATGTTTCCTGGTAATCTGGGGTCATTCTAGAAACTCTTCATTCTGTCTTTTGTGGGACCCATGACTGATTATCCTTCCTCTTCTATTGTAGAAGGAATTAGAAGTAAAAAGACCATTGTGGTAAATAAGAAAGTTCAAGGAGCACTTGGGACCAAACCCTATTATGTACAGAAAAGGGGAAACTCAATTTTTAATTAACAGCTATGGTAAATTTAATTTGTTATATTTTATACAAATTGTTTAGAATAGTTATTAAAAATTATAAGGGAAATGCACTTACAAGTCCAAAAATTTTGTAACTGTTTTACTTAAATTATATTCTGTATGGGGACTGGGAAATGTATTTTTACATTGTTTATAGCGAATCATTTTTGTATTTATCAATTTAAATCCTGTGGGTCTTTTTAGCTCTCTCAGTGTCAAATTTTGTAGTCTTCTTTTTAAATAAATTCATTTTATTGTCCATACCTTTGTAGTTGTTTAGTTATTACAGAAGCGTGATGTTTAAATGAAAACTTTGTCCAGAGTTCTAGGAGTTGGCTCTACAACCTTGGTGAGTCCCTATCTGGAATACTGGACTGTGGGTTTATCCAGATTTTGGGACATGGGTAGAAAAGAAATCTGTTTCCTACCCATGGGCTGTCCCTCTTGTTGGAAAGGTGAAATACACATAGAGACAGCATTTTTAGGGAGCCATGTATAAAGAGTTACCAAGGATTGTTATGGACTAAACATCTTTAAATACTTCCAAAGAAACAAATATTGACTCTCCATCACAATTCTTGATGTGACTAACAAAGCTGAAAACAAAAGAGGCCCATTGTCTTTCAGACTGTTCAGTGATGGGGAAAGTGAAGCAAAACTAGGGTGGTTGCAGTACAACTACAACTATTTGAATCGTTTGCAAAATTCCTGCCTCCAGCCTGTATGAGAATAACAAGATCTTTATAGTCATCAAAAACTCACTGGAATTTGTACATTTTTCATAGTTTAGGTTCTATAAAGAGCATTGTATCAGTGTGCAGTTGACTGCAAGGAGCAGGAAACCTAATTAAGTGGGTCTTAAATGGTAAGGAAAATTTATTTCACAAGAAGTATGGGTCAGGTAATTCCACAGCTGGCAAACTCCGTGGCTTGGTGGTGTCATCTAGGATCCATGTTCTTTCCGTTTTCTTGCCCCTCCACCTTCTGCCGTGTGAGTTTGCCCTTGGATCGGTGTAAACGTCTACAGACGTCAGCCCTGTGCACTACAATGTCTGAAGGCCAGAAGGAAGAGATGATTTATTGTCTTGAGTTTCTCTAAGGTGTTTCCTTTTCACATAAGGCCCTCAGTGGACTTCACCTACATGTCTTACTAGAAGACATTAAATGCCCATTTCTAAATTACATGAGGAATGGAATTACTGTAGTTGACTAAAGTAACTGAGACTCCACCTTAGGTTGTGATAGCCGTGGAAGCATTTGGCTGGCTTCTGACACCTGTACAAAATCAGTTCCGTTGGCATGAGAAAGGGCCACTGGGCTGGGAATCAGCGGGAGCTGTTATAAGCATGCTATGGATTGTTCCCCAGCTAGGAGACATAAAATTCCCAGTTTAAGAAACTTTTGTAGACCTGACTACCCCCAAACAATTAAAAATAGAGGAGCTAACTTTTTTTAGACTAAATTACAATGCTATAAATAATGTAAAACTGGTTTCCTCAAAGAGGGAGGTGGTGTTCTTCCCATGATGTCTTTCCATTTCTTCTATTTTTAATTATTGAAACATGTAAAGCACTGGAAATACAGAAAATAACACCTATTGTACAGCACTCAGCTTCAGTAGATCTTAACATTTGCCATATTTGTTCCAAGGGTCTTTGTTTAAAAGACAAAATGAAGCTATAAAAAAAATGACGTACCACCACCTCTAATTTTGTTATCTTTCCTGTTTTTATTTGTACTATAAATGCAGATAAAACAATGTATAACATGGTGTTTGTGCTATATGTATCCTTTCATAACTTGAAATTTTCAATCCAGTGTTTTGAAATTTATCTGATAACAAGTAACTCTAGTTCATTCATTTTAACTATTTGATATAACATTGTATGACTATGCCACAATTACCATTCCCCTGTGGATAGAAAAATTTTAACACAGTTTTGTTTTTGACTGTCTCACCCAGTGTTACAGTGGGCAGACATACGTGAATGTCTCGTGCACATGTGTGAGAGTTTGTCAGGTGTGTACTTAGAACGGAAATTGTGGGGCAGAGGGTCTCAGTGTGGCTCAGTGTTTCCCAGTGGGTCTGCCAAAGGGGAGGAGGGCTCACCAGCAGCGAGCGAGTGTGCTGCTTTCCCCATTCTTGGCTTGTGCTTAATACTAGTTCAACTCAGCACGTTGCCAGCCTGGGGCTGAGAGCGTGTCATTTTGTTTTAGGTTCCCCATATTACTGGTGAGCCTGTTCATCTCTTCATTTGTTTGTTGACTGCTTAGGCTTCCACACATCTGTGAGTTGTTTGTTCATATCCTTTGCCCTCTTTTATTTTTGTCATACTGAATTTTTCCTTTCTCATTTGAGAGTTCTTGACATATTGTGGATATTATCTTTTGTTAGTAATACATCTTAGAAATACCTTCACAAAGTCATTGGTCTATGTTTTAACTTTGTTTCTATGGTTAGCTCAACGTCAGAGATGTTCTTACTTTCTAAAATATTTTAAAGAGTTCTACCTTTTATAGTTAGTACTTGATTTTACCTTGATTTTTATGTATGGTGTGATTACCTCATACCATCTGATTTATTGTTTCAGCAAGTGACTAGTAGTGTTGCCAAGTTTATGTACATGTTATGAGTCTGGTGCTGGCTTGGGCTATTTTTCTATACCAGTGCTAATACTACAGACTTAATAAAATCTTAGTATCTGATAAGGCAAGTTCAAAAGTGTTCTGTATTTGACACCTCATTTTCTTTTCATTTTAGAGACTAGAACAGTTTTAGGTTTACAATAAAATCAAGAGGAAGGTAACAGAAGCACTTCACCTTTTACTATAAAATTTTAAGGTTATTTTGGCAAGTTAAAAACCCTTGTTGATTTTTTTTGAATTGCATTGGATTTATGGGTTAATTTTGGGGGAAAGAATTTATGATTGAATTTCACAGTCATGAACATGGGATCTCCGCTGAATTAAGGCTTTTATTGTCTTTCAGTTAAGTTCTACAGTTTTCTTCATAAAGGTCTTACATGTCTTTTGTCTGATTTATCCTAGATTCTTTATTTGTGTAGCTACCCAGAATGGGATCTTTACTTTAAAATTGCGTATTACATGGTTAGTGGAATAGGAATGTGATTGGTTTTTGTTGATCTTGTATTCAGCAATGTTGCTGGTGTCCTCTGTTACCTCTAACTGTGGATCCCTGTTGGGTATTTCACAGTCTGGGTTTATTTGTGTTCTTGTGTTTCTTTCCTCTAGTCACAATATTCCCCCTAAACTGGAAGATAGCTCTAAAATTAGCTTGCTTAAATTCAGGTTAGTCTTTTTCTTTTTTTCAAGGCTTCTTATAGGTGATGCCGTGTATTTGACCAGGTGGAGCAGAACCACACACCATGGCCATTTGATCAGCGGGTCAGGTGCTGACAGCCTGATCCTTCCCACTGTAAAGTTGTCCACCAGGTTTTAGCTCAGAAGTTCCACCCATTAATCTTTGTCTAAGTCTGTTATTTTATTAGGAGTTGCAAATGGTGACTGCAAAAGTCTGTCGTTTCTTCCACTTCTATTAGCTAGAATTCTTCAGTAATACTCTTACATTTTGACTTCATAAAAATTTGCAAAGTTAATTGGTCCTCCTACCCATCCATTTAACATACTAAGACCTTAGAATTAATGCCTATAAGTTTTTCCCACTTATTGTGTGTTTTTGCCCAGTGGTTTAAATTTATCTTACCCTGTCAAGTTGGCCATTGTCATTGTCTTAATGCTGTTACTGCTTTTTAGATTTGCTGATAAAATATTTTCTCTTTTGCTCACCATTGCTTCTTTGCAGTGTACCCCTTATTGTTGAATTCCATTTTCTTCTAACTCAGTGTTGGTTTTCATTTAGACAGGAGTCTAAAAATGTGTTTATTTTGCCCTTACTTTTTAAAAGGATGTAAAGCTAAGCTGGATGTAGAATTCCAGATTGACGGTTATTTTTCCTTATCACTTCAAAGAGAGTCCATTGTCCTTTGAGCCCTAACATTGCAGAAGTCTGCTGTCAGTCTGCATTCATAGTAGATGATGTTTGGTTCTTTTAAGGCTTTATCTTGGCATCTGGTATTGAGTTCCACTGGAAGATGTCAAGGTGGGTTTATTTGTATTTAACTGGGTAGGGATGAAGAATGCTGTGGTGTGAGGATTGACGTTCTTCATTTCTGAAAAACTTAGTTTTTACTTTGAAGTTGGCTTCACTTACTCTCCATCTGAATCTAGTGCCCCTATTATATGTATGTGGGACTTTCTCATTCTATCCACTATGACATTTAACCTCCCTTTAATATCTTCTGCTTCTTTATGTGCCATGTTCTGGATGGGAGCCTGAAACACTAATTTTTTTCTCAAAGCTGTATTTAACCTATTCATTAAATTGTAACTCTAATTTTCTGTTCAGCAGCTTCATTGAGTTTTTAACTTCATTTACTACATTTTCTTTCAGATGATTCTACTAAGATCTTAAGTTCTTTTGGTGCTAATTTCCCTGTTTGTTGTGTTTACTGAATCTTCCTCATGTTGGTTCCATGTTCTCATTCGGGAGTGTGAGCTCTAGGTTTCCAGTGGCTCAGCCCTTTTTATTTGATCCTCAGGTTCTGACCCCGCCACCTGCGCTCATGGCCTGCCTTCTGGGTGCTTCTCCCAGCCACCAGTTACCCTCCTCTCATCTGTGTTTAGAAGATCTAGCATCTACAGAAAGATTGTTGCACTGGGGGTGAACTGGAACCTGCTATTGGTGCTGGACAAACCAATGTCAGCCCCTTGCTCCTGCCCTTGGAATCGTCATAAATCGGGTTTAACCTAAAACGTACATGGGCAACAGAAGAAACCAGCTCTTAATAAAACCAGCCTCTGGAATTGGTGTTCTAGATGGAGACCCTGAAGTTTTAAATCACCTTGGTCCCCGCTCTCTCCACTGCCACCAATAATGATGCGTGCCAGTAACCCCAAAACTCAATGACTTAAAAGTACTTGAGTACTGTGGGTCTTGGCTGTAGTTAGTGGCTCTTCTGGTCTAGTGAGGCTTGCCACCTAGGCACAGGCTTGCTGTTGGCGGGAAGCTCATTCTTCTGGGGCAGCCTATTGTCAGCTGGGGAACAAGGTCCTCCACACGTTCCTCACGACCCCCAGCAGGTGGCCTCAGCATGTTCTCGCGGCGGCACAGAGGCAAGTGGGACAGGCCCCAAAGGGCGCTTTCCAGTGGTAGCTCCAGGCGTTGATGAGCATTCTCTGATGAAATGATACTTTTACTTGAGTGTAAATTAGTGGGGACAGATGTTCACCCAGTGGAATATAGATGTTCTCTGTAGATGTGGAGCTGTCCAGTTTAACACATTGTGCCTCTTGGTACAGATATAAAGCAAGACTTATTGGGGGAAACTAGGCAAATTAGAAGTCGAGTGTGTGTAGTTCCCTGAACCTTCATTACCCTGTAATCTGTGCTGGACATAAATGGACTCCATGCAGAGAGGAGCCCTGTCCCACAGTGCTCCACGCGTATGTAAGGAAGTTGGAAGCAGCGACAGGGGAGTTATGCAAATATGTAAGAAAGGAAGCTCTCTGTAAAGGAGTGGCCTTAGTAGAAAAGGGACCCTCAAGAGCTCATGGGCCAGAATCAATATATTTCTCCATTGTGCTAACTCAGATCTTTGGAGTCATCTCTCCAATAAGCTACTAAAATGAGGGAGGAAATGAACCTGCAGAGTCATCCAGATTTTTCTTAACCCATCCCTGTCCCTTGGGGTCCTACAGCTCGGTTAGGTGGGGTGACATATTTATCATGGCAACTAGAGGAGAGAACAAGGACATTTGGGACAGGTTGTCCATATTTGTAATAGGAAAAGAGAGCTGCTCACTTCCCCTTGGCCTCTGTACTTCCTGGAGTCAGACACACTCGTACCTGATGAGATCTGTTGTCCCCTTAGGGATGAGCCACATTGTCCTCCTTTCTGGACCCAGGAGTTGCCACTTTGTTACCAATAAACTGAGCAGAGAAGGGTGGCCTAGAATACCTGAGACAAAGTGCCTGAGTTTGTCTACACAGATGTGAACAAAATGAACTACCCATCCATTGGTCTGTTGAGGTCAAATCAGGTGCAAAAGCCCGTGAGTGCCTAGCAGCTCAGGGAAGCAGAGCGGATTATCACATGCAACTTGGCTATAGGTGAAGACAGACCAGCTGGCCTTGGAGAGGTCATCGAAGAGTCTGGTACAGGTGGCATGTAATAGAGTCAGCTGGCCTTGGCGAGGTCATCAAAGAGTCTGGTACAGGTGGCACGTAATAGAGTCTTTGCAGTTAAGAATGGCTTCTGTAGTTTCGTACTGGGCATCTCAGTCCTTTACGGTCCTTGCATACACATGGTGCATTTAAGCACAGCCCACTGGCCTGTAGGGAGAGATGATGACTGTATGTTTATTGGCTTTTTTTTTCTCATGTAAGTTTATATAAATGCTTTTTTTTTTCTAGATATGGTTGCTTCATGTAACCATATATGTAACATAAATATTGAGTCTGTAATTAAATAGTTATATGTCTCATGGGTGGTGGGAGTGCACCAAATATGTGGTATGTCTCTTCTAGTCCATTGCCAGGTGGTTCAAATACCTGACCATACAGATAGGCCGTGAGTGACAGGCCATGAGCCTATATGCAGATATTATTCAGTCATTCGGGAATGGTGCACTCTGGCTGGAAGTCCCACATGTCCAGCCCACTGTATGGGGGTCTGCTGCTGTGGGCCACTGGCCATCAGCCATCACTGGGCGGCTGTAGCATCGCACAGGACCTGCTCACGTTGGAGGCCAGTGGGCTCTTTCATAAGTGGTTCTCGTCAGCTGGCCTATTTTGTACGTGAGACTGTTACTAAGCCAGCAGCTTATTAGGGAAGACACAATTTCTATCTAATGGATGGGCAGCCTGTTTGTGAAGATGGCTGAAGGCTTAGAGGCTGAGTTTGGCTCTTACTTGGAAGATCCATTTTTCTCCTCATCAGAGGGCTTTCTGGAGCTTGTCCCTTCTATGGAATTTAGTGCAGAATTGCAGGATGAGAATGTCCAGTTGGAGACTCGTTTCAGTTAGGGCTCAGCACTTGCCTCTTAACAGCCGGAGGAAGTCCTCACATTCAAAGGCTCAGAGGTCAGAGGGCCTTGCTAGAGGCCCCAGTCAACTGCATTCAATCCTGGGCACCTGCACTTCCTTGCGGGCTGAAAGCAGAGGCTCTGGGTAAGGTGTCTTACTGCAGCCTGACCGCTTCCAGAATATTTGTTAGGGCCTTTACTCAAATGTGCCACATGGCTGATGGCATGGGGTGGGGACTGTAGGAATATTGGCAGGTTTGGGATGTACTGTCCCTAATAGCCATAATGCAAAGCAGCCAGTTTGGGTGTGGGACCGCTTCTTTTGCACTTGGTGGCCACTACAAAGTTTGTGTATTTGTTGATGAAATAACTCCTTGTATTGTGACTCAGCTTCCAGAGACAGCCACTTGGGATGCAGTTTACTTGGGTGTCGTCCTCATTTGGGGCCCATCTGTCTTTTGTCAGCTGTGCTCGGGGGGCATGTGCTGCAGCGAAGGCAGTTTTCCCTGTGGAGCCATCATGGAAATGTCTGCATATCCCCCAGCAGGTCACATTATACCAGGTGGGTCCAGTCCTCTGATGCTCTATCACAGGAGAATTCAGGGTGATAAAACTGTGTACCAGATACTATGTCAGGGGAAGGCAAACTGATCCCCACGCCCCTAGCCCACCCCCAGGGATCTAAAAAAGAAAGTGTTGGCAATACACTAGGCTGCAAACCAGGACACTCGTTCACTTTGATGTTGGGCCCTGTGGAAATGAATGACCATGTTCTTTAAGCTTCCATAGTCTACTGTAATGTCCCAGCTCCCATTGGCCTGACAAGAGTGCTCAACTTAAAGGGAGCTTTGAACTTTGTGTAGCATGCTGGCTGCACAAAACAAACCCTGGTGTGAGAGGACCATGCACCTTTTCTTGTCCCAGGAAGAGGCATTGTTTCAATGGTTGGGCTTGGCTGGCTTTATGGGTAAACACCAATCTCCTCTGCATCTGACTGACACTTACATGAGCCCCCAACGGGGTCCCGACAAATGTCCAATGAATGGATCCTGTGAGCAAATTCTTGCAAAAGAACAGCAAGCAGAGTCTAGACTGACCGACCAAATTTTCACAGAACCACAAAGTACAACTGCTCTCTGGTAAGTTTAGGAACATTTGGGGCTGCCTCCAGGGTGGGGTTGAACTGCAGACCCAGTCCCATGCCTGGTTCCAGTCCCTGCTTGTCCCACGACTATAATTGTCCAGCCTGAGTCGAATCAGCTCAGCCTCAGGTTCTGGCTCCACAGGAGCAGGGGAATCCGCTCTAGGGTTTGGTGGCTGCTACTCAGAGCCCCCTCGCTGGCCCTGCTCTCCCAGCGATGCCTGCCCATCACTCCCTTGGCTTTTAATCATAAAAATACATGCGTCTGTGATGCGTTTTTTCCTGGGATACCTTTTCTCTGGCATTCAGTGGTCTCATTACCCAGAATTTTAATTTTGTAGGGAATCCACTTCCTGTTCAAATGACTTGTCTGTTAGAGTTCTAGTAGCTTTCTGCCCCCCACTCCCACCCTCTCAGGGGCTACAGGTCTCTCTCCTTCAGGCCCCTTGCCTTTCACCTCTCCCCCAGGCTGTGTGTTTTCTTTCCTTGGGCCACTGCCACCAGAGTGGGCGACCAGATGTACCACCCAGAGCTTTGACCCTGGGCATTATTTCCCTTCACTGCTGTCTTCTGGCCTGAGTAAGGCCATCAGTGCAGGCCACCTCATTTTCAGCTTACCCCTCGTATCCAGCTGAGCCACCTGTGTGGAGTGAAACAGGAAAGGAGAGTGAGCCAATACAAGGATGCGTCACTGAGCTGGCCACCACTTCCCTACTGGGGAAGTGATTCCCTGCTGGTCCTGTAGGAATACCCTTAGAGAGGCTATATAAAACCCACCTCAGGACATCCTGCCCCAGGAGAGGGGGACAAATGTCCCCACTGATTCCTGTGTCCCATTGGCCAATATTACTGCACAAGGCAGGCACTCTCCCCCACTTTCCAGCTGCCCACGTGTGCGGGCTGAGTGCCTCCTATGGCAGCATCTACAGCCAAGCATAACAGTCAGGAGGTGTCCCTGGAGGCCTGAAGCAGGGTGTCAGTCCTTGCAGGGCTGGCTGTGCAGCGGTAGCTGAATCAAGAAATCAGCGAGGCCAAGGGGATGTAAACTGTTGCATAAAGGGGATGTCTGTTACAGCAATATAGTGGTCAGTGAATAAAGTCCCAAAAGGTTACATACAGCGTGGTGTCCCTGCCATTTAATTATAAATAACTACCATAATTGCATACATGTAGCTACAATGGAACTATACATAACAGGAGCAATGATGCGGTGAATGAAAGATTTAGGAGGTTATCATGGGAGCGGGAGAGGGGAAATGGGGCAGGGTGATGAGAGGGGAAGAATAAAGGTAGCTAAGGTATAAAATTGTCATGGACCAATGATCGGAGTGTGAGAGTGTCATGAAGCCAGAATTATGATTAATCTGTGCTCCTGAGGTCCAAACAAAATGTGCTGCTCGTCCGTGCTGGGATTTCGGGGCCTTCCGGGCCGAAGGGCGGCAGGGCTCCCCGCTGGCCACAAGAGGGCCCGCGCGGCGCAGGGTGAGGGGGCGGGGCCGGGCCTCTGCGTCCCCTGTGGCTCGGCTGGTATTTCGCACCAGGACGGTGTGCGGGGCGGAGGGGTAGCGGCGCGGCCTGCAGGCTGGGCGGCCCCCGGCAGGGTCCTGGGCTTCCCGGGGAAGGCCTAGTGTCCCCGCCCACGCCTCCCGGGCTTACCGCGCCTTCTCACAACCGCAAGGCCGGGGGGCCGCAATGAGCCCTCGCACAGGTTTTGTTTGGCCTCAAGTGTATCTTTTAAAATTAAGTTTATCTGGCAACATTAAAAACAGAAAATGTGTTGTCTAAGAAATCCAGATTTCCACTGGCCGGTGTCACTTGGGACATTTGGCAGCACTTGGCGGCCAGCCCAGCAGACGACACCGGGTCAGCTGCCCCTCCACACGCAGCCCTTGAAGGGGGAGGGAGGGTTTTAAAAATAGTTTCATGGCGGTCATCGCTATTCAGAACTGAGCCAGTCGTACGCCTCATACCATGACATTTACTTTTTTGTACAGCTCTATGGAGTTCAAGGTGGTCTTTTTTTAAATTTGCATAGTTTTCTATGTATAATGAAAATTACAGTAAATCCCTCACAGTCCAGCAGTTGCTTCAGTCTCCTTCCAAGCGCCCAAGGCTCCAGGTGTTTGTTCTCACCGAGGTCCTCATGAGGGAGTCCCCCAGCTGTCTGCCCCCTCCGACCTGGGCCGGTGGCCCTTGAAGCCATCTGCTGCGCAGTGGCCAGCCTGGCAGCGCCCTTCATCTCTCGGGTTTCCTTTTCTTTTTAAGCAGAGAAATCCCTTTTTTCAAACTTAATCATATGAAACCCCATTAGATACATCAGGAAATACATTAACATAAATGATAAATTTATAACATTTTCTTATTATAAAAGCCCATAAAAATAATGGAATTAATTTGCAAAGCTCACAGCTTGGATAAGGAGATATCTTTGGATTCATCCCTCTGTCTTGGTAGCGCAGGACGGAGGCATCCCCGCGCCCCGAAGGCAGCGCGCTTTCTGGCGGCCTTGCTCTTGGGCTTCCCTAACTCGGATTCGGAGGCCGCCAGGCGAGGCAGCCTTCCCCAGGGCTGCCTGAGGCCGGGCTGCCTGTGCGGGAGGTTGGGTGAGAGGTGCGGCAGGCCTCAGGGTTTGCCCTTGCCGGCCAGAGGGCGTGTTTTAAGGTGTCAGCATGTATTTTGTGCATAAAATCAGACATCTGTGAGCCCCCTGAAGCACCTCTGGGAATTCACAGGATGCAGTTCAGAAACCACCACCCAGGGGGGATGTGGCAGTGGCCGAGGAAGAGTCCTGAGACCTTCTGCGTTCCCATGGCAACTTAAGTTAGCCTTTCACGCTAAGGAAATGGCCTGCGAGGTGGTGGTGGGGGAGAGGGCCAGCTCTGGGTCACTGGTGCCCGGCTGGACGCCCCGGCTGAGGGCTAAGAGGGAAGCTGTCTGGAAGAGAAGCCTCTAGCACGTGGCTGTGACACCAGGGCCTCCTGCAGGACCACGCTTGTCTCCTTCCCTGGAGCTGTCTGTAGACATCAGGGCCAACTGCTTGTGGATGGCTCCAGCTGGCACGGGCTGGCTCTGGCGTTGCCATCCCAGAGGCCCTGGTGGGGAGCTCACAGGCCAGGCCCAGAAGACAGGCAGACCTGGACTCGACTCCAGTCCAGCTCTGTCTGTAACCTTCCCCTCGGCTCCCTCCTGGGGCCTCCCTGCTGCCCTGCCAGTGCGCCCAGGGTAGGCGGACTTCCCCGTAGGGCAGTTCTATGGCTACACACCACCCACCACAGGGAGGAAATCACACCAAAGCCGCTGTCTAGCGCCTCTGGGACAAGCAGTCTTTCTTGTGGGAAAACATCTGTGGCAGAGGACTGTCTGAGGAAGAGCGTCACCTTCCAGCTTCCACCCTTTCCTCCCCAAGGGCAAGGCCAGCTGCGGGAGGCTCTGGCCTGCAGCTGGCTGCTCTTGGGCAATGTGGGCAGACCGGCTGTGGCCTCCTCTCTCCGTGCCCCTTGCAATCACAGGTGCTGACACCCTTTCCCGGGGCCTCAGGTTGCCCTCGGCACAGCCCCTGCCTCCCATGCACCCAGTCTTCCCCCCTCTCCCATCTTTGCACAGTCCTGCTTGGCTGCAGCAGCTCAGGGAGCCACCTCCCTGTTCTGGGAGCTGGGGCGGTGTGGGGAGAGTGTGGGCTACACATGGGCACTGCTCCCGGGGTGAGGGCCTGATTTAGAGAAGACAGACACATCCCATAGCTTGTATTCCAGGACCGAATGCAGAGCGGTTAGATGATGGCCCCCGCCTCTGTTGGGCTGCGATGCCTACTCCGGTTTGGGTGTGATTGGGTCTCTGTCTCCCTGCATCCCCCAAATAGTTTTTTCAGCTACTTAGGTGCCTAGAAAGAAGGTATGCATTGCTTTAAAAAAAATTGTGGTAGAAAGTACATCAAAGTTACTGTTTGAACAATTTCTGGTGTACAGTGCAGTGGCATTACACCCATTCACACTGTTGTGCAACTGTCACCACCATGCACCTCCAGGACTTTCATCACCCCAAACGGAAACTGTGCCCACTCAGCACTAACTGCCCCTTTCCCTCCCCACCGACCCTGGCAGCCAGCTCTCCCCTCTCCATCTCTACTCCTGGGCCCTCCTGAAAGTGGAATCATACAGTATCTGCCCTTTTGTGTCTGGCTCACTTCACCTAACGTCTTTGGGTTCATTCATGTTGGGCGATGTGGGCAGACCGCCCACATCCTTCTTTTCTAGGTGGCCTCAGTTGCTTGTGAGTAGTTTTATGTCTTGTGTGAACAATAATGCCTTCCACCCTTAATAACAATTTACATTGAAAATATGCAGATCTTGACGGCCAGCATCTAGTGCATCCTTTACCCCGTCACCTTCAGTGGGGCACATACACCCAGGTGCCCCCAGGGAGCGTCGAGTGCTAGCTTTGTGGGCCCCTTCACTTCATTCCTGGTTTTACAGCCTTCTAGTTGAATAAGAAATCCTGCTGCAATTGGCCAATATTTTATTTAAAAACACACAAACACAAGCACACGACAGTAACAAAGGGAGAAATGGGGAAGGAGATGCGAGCTCTCCTGTTTGGAGACAGACTGACCACATAGCGCTCCTAACAGGCACTCCTCACTTAAGAAAGAGGGTATCTTCAAGGCCAGGTTTCTGAGCTAGATAAATTAGGATGGCTTTGTTTTTGAAGAGAGGATTTAAGGCAGCTTCACTCCCCTGAGGAATGTGAAGTAGAAGCTCATGTATGCAGGAGTTTCAGAAACCCCTCCACTGTGGTGCTCAGTGTGGTCACAGTCCCTGAGGCAGTTCTAAAAGCAAGAGGGAGAGTCCGGATTTCCCTGGAGGCTGCTTTCTTCCCCAAGGAAGCCTGGAGAGAGGGGCTCAGACCAGCCCAGGAGCCCAGGAGGAAGGCGAAGGCCCCTCCTGTACCCACCAGCCTGCTGAGCAGAACTTTGGCACATTAACACAGGTTCTAAAGTGTTTCCTCGGGCCCGCTCTAAGATCCTCGGGTATGCTGGCCACGCCTCCTGCGGGGTGGGGCCTCCTGCGGGGCGGGGCCTCCTGCGGTTGGGGACGGGCTCTGGTCATCAGGCAGTTGCGTCTGGGGAAGGAAATGGCAAAGTCAGGACGACTTGCCAGGGCAGGGCCCACCCAGAAGCCACACGAGGGCTGAGCCAGGTTCTGCTCAGTGTCCTTCCTGCCCCAGCCAACTGTCACTGTGGCTATTTTATTCTTTTTGAATACTTTTCTAAAAAAGAAGAAAAAAAGTCACGGTGCAGAGGGGCCTCCCCACTTCCTCCTCCCAGCCAGGCTGACCCCACAGACATGCTCCTACTCCTTTGGCTGTTTCTTTCGGCCCCTTCCCTGGAATGTGAAGTAATATATTTATGCCAATGTTTATACATTTATCACCTTTCGACATTACCAGTAACCTGTTTTTTCTTACTTTCTCTAATTTTTTCATCATTCATTTTTTTTCTTAAACAGCTTTACAGAGATAGAATTCACCATGCAATTCACTTGTTTAAAGTATACATCTCCATGGTTTTCAACTTATTCAGAGCATTTGTGCCAGTGTCACCACAATTTTGAACATTTCATCACTTTGAAAAGAAACCCCCTACCCATTAGCAGTCACCCACACCCCACCTCCCCCAGCCCTAGGCAACTGCTAGTCCACTTTCCGTCTCTGGATTTGCTGATCCTAGACTTTGTATCAGCAGGTTCCTACACTCTGTGGTCTTTTATGACTGGCTTTTTTCACTCAGCATCCTGGTAAGTTTTTGCCAGAGGACTGGAAGGGAACTGAAGTTCTCATGTGACAACCTTTCTGCAGGGCAACTCAATCAATATGATGTCCATGCTTTGATAATTTTAATGCATTTTTTAAAAAGACAGAAACAGCAAAGAAAGGAAGTGCTGGATCAAAGAAGTGGAGGAATCAAAATAATTGGTTCAAGCCTTCGGCAATTTTAGTTCTAGAAATTTATTCTAAAGGTAAAAAAAGAGTAGGCATGTGTTTACAATGATGTTCATGAGAGCAGTGTTTAGTAGCAAGGAACTAAAAAAAGAAAACAAAAAATAAAATGCACTGCCCCTAAATAGGAGACACATTAAGTGAACTATGGCACAGATGTACAATGGAGTTACTTCAAGCCTATGAGTGATTAGCAATGAAGAACAGCTAACAACGTGGGGCAATATCTGCACTGTAAGTGGGTTAAGTAGGAGAAAAGGATCAGGTTACAAGATTACACAGTCTGATCTTTTTGATAAAAGCAATATACGTATCTATACACCTATCTCTGTATTTCTATATCTAGCTAACTAGCTAGCTATCATCTATTCAGACGGACGAAATACAGAAGGACAGATGCCTAGCAGGTGCTATTTCTGGATAACATGATGATAGATGGTTTTTATTAAAACAACTTTTTTCTTATTTGTATTTTCTAAATGCTCTACATTTTATTCTTGTCATTAGGAAACTTATGTAAAGAAAATGCTTCACATCAGAGGCTGAAACATGAGGGGTCCCTGGGTGTGGTGGAGACAGGGGTCCTGGGTATGGCTTTCCTCCCAGGCCCCGTGCTCTCACCACCTCCCCAACAGCAGGGCCGTTCCCCACTGCTGAAGTCCAGAGTGGGCCTCCCTCCCGTTCCCATGTGCTAAGCCCTGCAGCTGTGGTACCTGTAGCAGAGGGAACCTTCTGGGATCATCTGTGTTCAGACACCGGAACTCACCTGTTGACTGGGTCACACACGAGATCTTGTAGGAGAGCCACACACTCGCCAGGCAGAGGAAGGTGGCCATGAAGCCGAAGATCTGCACAGGAGAGAGGGGAGGAGGTTCCCAGGGCTGCTCTCAGGCAGTCCTGGCTGTCCCCTGCTTGAACAATGGCCCAAGGGCGCTGGGGAATCCTTTGACCCAAGCTCCTGTCTGGCTCAGGTGCCAGGCTAGGCTGGGACCCCGGGCAGGCAGCAGCCGGGCCTCAAGGGCATCCCCTCTGGGCTCTTCTCACTCTTGGCGACTTCAGCACCCAAGTTCTGCTTTAGGTTTAGAGCTGGGCTGGGGCCAAGCCTCTGTACTAATGAAAGAGAAAAGGCTGGAACTGTAGATTTTAATTTTAGTTCTAAATATTTTAATGTTCAAATGGATTGTATTGGTGTGGTATTCTTGTCTGCATGGCATTTGTTCTTTCTGGCTTTACAACTGTTTGGGAGCCAGAAGCTGAGGCCTTGATACCAAGTTTTATATTTGCACATATTTAAATAACATTAGACTAAAGCAAGTGAAGGCAGTGCTCCTTCCGGAGGCTCCACCCCAGGCTGTGCTCAGGACGCATGCCCCAGCCCAGGCCAGCCTCCTCCTCTGCAGACGAGGACAGGGTGCAGAGAGGGAGAGTGCCTGGTGCTGGCTCATCAGACGGTCGGGAGAGGAGCAGGTACCCGTTCTGGTGTCTCTGTCTGCAACTTCGAGGCCTGAAGCCCTGTTCCTTGCTGTGGACAACACTGGCAGCTAGAGCAGCTAAAATTCTTTGGGCACTCACCGTGGCCCCCCATGTGCTAAGCCCTGTAGCTGCGGTGGTCCCCTTAATGCTCACCACTCTGCCAGGTTCCCTCCTTCTCCCCCCTCATTTTGCAGGTGAAGAAATGGAAGGACAGAAAATCAACTATTTTGCCCAGGGCCACAGAGCCAGCACAGGCCAGACACAGGACGGGAGCCGGGGGTCTGGCTCTGGAGCCCATGCTCTCTCCCCTTGTTGCCCAGCTGCTCCCAGCCTCTCCAAGGGCCTTGGGCAGCCCATGCTGCCACGTGCATGGCCCAAACCGCTGGCCAGCGTCCAGTAGGAATGGTCCAGGAGCAGCCAGGGCAGGGCTTGGTTTCTGTTCAAGCCTGGCTCCTGGTTTACATAGCGGCTGCCCCTGCTGGCCCACACCCACCGTCCCCTCCCCCAGGTCCCTTTCCTTGGCTCCTTTTGTACCGATTGTCTGCACCACATAATGAGCCATTGGAGCCTGTCCTGGCCTCTCATTGTCTATGCTGAACAATTAGCACACTATATGCCACCCCAGTCTCTCCAACTGTCTGCACTGCAGAGCCCAGCAGTCTATTCCACGGCCACATAATGCCAGCTGAGCGCTTATTGTTCCATGCGCCTCGGCCTCGACTCCTAAGCTAGAACACCATTTTCTCATAAGCAGGGACCATATCTTTTTATTTTTTCTGGCTCCTGCATGGCCCAGACTTTGTCCTAGGCACCAAAGACAGTGTATGCGATGTGGGGTTTACTGGGATTCCAGGGCTAACACGGTTATGCACAGCAGCCTGAATCATAAATGCAGTGTGTCAGGCACAGTTCTCTCTATGCTTCTTCCAGCAGCCTGCCTGTAGTTGGGCAGTTGACAACCTATAGGTGGGAACCACCCCACTCCTTAGACTGAAGGGTGGGGTTGGGGGCTGTGGGGGGAGTTGGGGGAGGTGCTTAAGGCCCAGGAGGGCTTACAGGCTTGGCTGCCTCTCTGCAGTGAAATTCTGCCTCACGCTGCCCTGTGGAGGAGAGGGTCCACCTCTCGGGAATGCTGGCGCTAACCCACTCCCAGCCTGAAGTCTGGAGAATCTGGGTGAAGTGTGTAAATAAATGGAAGAGTAACTGTCACACATACGAACTCTTCTTAAAACTCATTTACAAAATCTAGGATGCTCATCAGTGAGGCAAATCAGTACTGGCCCATAGGCCACCAAACTAAACTATCAGCTAAATCAGAGATCAGATGACAGGAACCTATGGATCTTCAAATAATAATAACTACATCTATATGTATATACACATATGTACATATGTGTGATAAATATAAAGAGCTTCATGGCACTGTAATTTTATGTATTTCCACGCTACTTCTATTCAGGCTCTCAGATGTGAAAGGTGTAGAATATAATTTCCTGGCCTGAATGCTGTTCAAAATCAGAACTTGCAAAGCAAGGCCTCATGGTGGATATCACTAACTGACACAGTACTTTGCTCCTGGGCCCCAAAAGGGCCTCGGAATCTTTCTCTGCATAGTGCTGAGCAAATGACTAGAATGGGCATACGAATTAAAACCTGTTTGTCCCATTGAAGTAGGGGCTTGTAAGAGAGAGGCCTGGGCCGCTGGGGCCGTCTGAATTTGCCAACAGCTCTGGGGATCCGTCTTCTGAGACCCTCTGCTGTGGGCCCATGTTTAAGGCCCTTTGGGAACTGCTGCAGGCCGGATCAAGGTGGGTACTGATTCTGCGAAAGAAAGGCCCTCGAGGACAATCCCTTCACTGCCCCCGTGAGGAAGAACAAGCATCGAAATGAATTCATTCCGGAAGGCTCCCCGAGAGCGTCCTCACCGCTCCAGCGACCAGTCCGCTCTGGCTGTAACTCTTGGAGGCTGCCACGATGGAGGCGATCAGGAGGAGCAGGGTACCAATTAAATAGTGCAGAAGTTCCTGGGGACAAAACAGAGCAGAGCAGTGGGTGGGGAGGTCCACCCTGGGTTCCGAGAGCGGCGGGCATTGGAAGCGATGAGCAGAAGGGGGGGCAGTGGTGCTCCCTCCTCTCCCTGCGAGATGCGCGAGAGTGGCGCGGTTCAAGGAGCAGAGGTGCAGGGCTGGCCAGCATGAGGCCTGGCGGGAGAGAAGAGAGCAGATGAAGGGAAAGGTGGCTTCTCTGTGGGGAGAGAGCTGCCCCCAGCACTGCTTCACTCCTGAGATCGTGTGGACAGCACCCTGACCTCTAGCAGAGCTAAAAGCAGACGAGTGTCTCACAGCCCCAGGCTGGGGAGTCTGAGTGGAGCTTCAGCTCGGGGAGGAAAGCCCCTCAAAGAGGTGTGCGCCTTTGGCTTCTGCTGCGGAGGAAGTTCTGGGCTAACACTGTGCTGGCTTTGGTGGCTGCCTGGAGTGCCTGCCCACTCTGTGAATAACTGTGGACTTGAGAGGTGCGTGGTCGCCCCAGACTCGGTGCCAGGGCCTATGGGAAGGTCCGCAGCCCTCAGTGACATGCTGTGAGTGTGTGGAGGGAGCTGGCTTTCTCCCTCCTAAGTCCTCCTGATTTTGTTGTCATTTTGGCTTCCCTCTCCTTTTCTCTCCAGAAGTGTCTCCTCAGGCCAAGCTCTGCCAACGAGTCTACTAGCACAGCTGACCCGCCTTTGCATCTCCCTTTGGTCCACGGGGCCATCCATGCCCACCCCACTCACTCTCCAGACAGAAATGGCATCTCTGCGGGCCCTGGAAGAGGCAGAGCCTCTGCACTCAGCATGGTGACACTTCCACCTCCTCCCTCCTCTCCGTTAACCCCAAATCAGAGGAGAATGGGCCTTAGGGCCACTGAGTACTCACTCTGAATCCAGACTGTATTCATTTTCAGTTATTGTCTGTGAGAATTAGGAAATTATTCCTTCATGAAGTCCTGCCTCTCAGGCAGGCAGCTATTAAATTTTAGAAAAGCATTCCACTTTTAAGCTGCAGCTCCTCTCAAAGCTGTGCAAAATCAAAGACCCTGATTTCTCCCTTAGTGACTAGAAAGGTATATCACAAGGTACACCACAAAGAGCAGATTAGTAACTGGAAGTTCCCTACCTCCAAGAGTCTTACCCACAAAAAAAGAGCAGTATGAGATAGGGAAAAGACTTGGGAGCGAGAAAATGGCCTTGAGAGAGTCTTGAATGGAAGGCACCTAACTAGCACTCTGCCAAAAATGCACAGCTCCCAACTTCCACTCCCCTTCCAGGCCACCCTCATTCTTGTGCCCCTACTTTTATTCTCTCCTTTGCTTGTTCATTATCAGCATCAGAGAAGCCCAGAGGAGACTCCTCAAAGGAAGCAGAAAGGCACCATAATTTGAAAGGGGACTTACAACTTAGGAACACAAAGGAAATTTTTCCCAAAATAACATAGTAGGTAAGAACATTAAATGTGGATGATTAAATAATCCAATCAAGAAGCAGAGGTTATCAGATCAGATTAAAAAAAAAAAAGACCCCACTATATGCTGTCTACAGGGGACATATTTTATATTCAAAGATACAAATAAACTGAAGTAGAATGATGGGAAAATACGTCATTCAAACACCAACCAACAGAAAGCTAGAGTGGCTATATTAGTATCAGACAAAATAGATTTTAAAATAAAAAAATGTAACCAGAGATAAAGAGGAACATTTTATAGTGATGAGAATATCAATCCATGAGGAAGATGTAACAATTAAAACTTCTATGCACCTAAAAACACAGCAACAGAATACATGAAGCAAAACCTCAAAGTGAAGGGAGAAACAGAAAATTAAAAAATAATAGTTGGAGGCTTCAATACCCCACTTTCAATAATGTATGGAACAACTAGGGCAAAGATCAACAAGTACACAGAAGACTCAAACAATACTACAACACAGTGAGACTTAACAGACACCTATAAAACACTCTACCCAGCAACAGTAGAATATAAATCTCAAACACACAAAACATTCTCAAGGATAGACCACATACAAAACCATAAAACAAACCTCAATAAATGTGAATGGACCAAGATAATATGAAGTATGTTTTCCAACTATAACAGAATGAAATTAGAAATCAAGAGCAGAAAGAAATTTGGTAAACTCACAAATACATAGAAATTTAACAACACATTCCTAACTGACTACTGGGTCAAAGAAGAAATAATGAGGGAAATTAGAAAATACTTGGAAATGAATGAAAATGAAGACACAACATACCAAAATTAAGGCATGCAACTAATGCAGTACTCAGAGAGAAACATATCTGTAAATGTGTATATTAAAAAATAAGAAAAATTTCAAACTATAGCCTACCTTAAGACACAAGAAAAAAGAAGAGCAAACTAAAACTACAGCAAGAAGAAAGGAAATAAAGATTGGAACAGAAATTAGTGATACAGAGAACTGACATAGAGAACACAAAAACAATAGAGAAAATCAATGAAACCAACAGCTGGTTTGTTGAAGAGATCAACAAATTGACAAACCTTTGGCTAAATGGGTCAAGAAAAAAAAAGAAATGATTCAAATGATCAAAATCAGCAATGAAAGAGGGGCCATCATTACAATCTTACAGAAATAAAAAGGATTTTAAAGGAATACTATGAATAACTGTATGTCAATAAATTAGATAACTTAGCTGAAATGGACATATTCCTAGAAACACATGCTACTGAAAATGACTCACATAGAAATAAGCAATATGAAATACATCTACAACAAGTAGAATTTGAATTAAAAATAAAAAAATTACAAGAAAATCCCATACCAGATGGCTTCACTGTGGAATTCTACCAAACATTTAAAGAATCAACTTTTCACCAAGTCTTCTAAAAAATAGAAGGGAACACTTTCCAAAGTACTCTGCATCCAGAATTACTCTGATAACAAAACCAGACAGATGTAACAAGAAAACCATAGACCAATAACATCTCTTTTGAATACAAATACAAAAATCCTCAATAAATATTAGCAAACCAAATCCAGCTACATATAAACTGAATTATAGAACATGACCAAACAGAATTTACCCCAGGAAGGCAAGGTTGGTTCCACATATGCAAATTGATATAATACATCATATATTAGTAGAATATGGCAGGGGGAGGGAACCCACGTGATTATCTTAATAGACAAAGAAAAAGGATTTGACAAAATCTAACACGCTTTCATGTTAAAAAAAAAAACTCAACAAAGTATGACTGGAAGGCAACTTCTTCAACCTGATAAACGGCATCTACAAAACACCCACAGTTAACATCATATTTAATGATGAAAGATGGAAAGCTTTCCTCATAAGATCAGAAACAAAGTAATGACGTCTGCTCCTGCCACTTCAATTCAACATTCAATTAATTTCTTTAATAAGGCAGGAAAATGAAATGAAAGTCATCCAAATTGGAAAGAAATGTAAAACTATCTCTATTCAGAGATGGCATGATCTTCAGTTTACAAAATCCTAAGGAAATCCACTAACAATCTATTAATCTAATAAAGGAGTTCAACTAGGTTGAGGATACAAGACTAATATAAAAAATCTATTGTATTTCTATCCATTTACAATGAATAATCCAAAAATGAGATTAAGAAAAGAATTACATTTGAAATAGCATAAAAAAGACTAAGATAGAACAAATTAACAAAAAGTCCAACTCTGAAAACTATAAAACATTGTTGAAAGAAAAATGATCTAAATAAATGGGAAAGTCTCCTATGTTCATGGATTACAAGACTTAATATGGTTAAAATGGCAATATTCTCCACACTGATGAACAGGTTCAATGCAATTCCTGTTATAATCTAGTTGACTTCTTTGTCGAAACTTAAAAGCTGATTCTAAAATTCATATGGAATTGCAAAAGTCCAAAATAATCTTGAAAAAGAAAAACCAATAAGACTCACAATTCCTAATTTCAAAATTTACTACAAATCTACAGTAATCATGACACTATGGTAAGGTCTATGCAGTAGGATTGAGAGTCCAGAAATAGATCCATGTATTTATGGTTGACTAATTTTGAATAAGGGTGCCAAGACAATTCAATGGGAAAAAACAGTCTTTTCAAAAACAATCAACAGATGGTGTTGGGACAATGATACTCACATACAAAAGAATGGAGTTAAATCCATACCTCACACTATGTGCAAAAATTAACTCAAAATAGATCAAACACCTAAATGGAAGGGCTAAAACCATGAAACTCTTAGAAGAAAATAAATCTTCACAGTCTTGGATTTGGCAATGGCTTTTTAGATTTATACCAAAAACATGAGCCAGCAAAAGAAAAATACATAATTAGATTTCACAAAAATAAAAGCTTGTGCTTTAATGAACACTATCATGAAAGTGAAAAACAACCAAGAGAAGGAGAGAAAATATGGCAAACCATATATCTGATAAAGATATACAAAGAACTCCTACAACTCAGTAAGACAACCTAATCAAAAAAAGGGCAAAGGATCTCAACAGACGTTTTTCCAAAGAAAATATAAAAATGGCAAAAAAGCACATGAAAAGATGATTACCATCATTAGCCATCAGAGAAATGCAAATAAAACCATGAGGTATCACTTCAGACTCACTAGAATGACTAAAATCGTTGGAAAGCAAGTATTGACAAAGATGTGGAAAAACTGGAACGCTCATACACTGCTTACGGAATGCAAAATGGTGCAGTCATTTTGGAAAATAGTCTGGCAGTTCCTCAAACAATTAAACAAAGTTACTGTATGACTGTGCAATTTCACTCTTAGGTATATTCCTAAGTGAAGTGAAGACATGTCTATATGAGAAAACTTGTACATAAATGTTCATAGCAGTATTAATCAAAATAGCTAAGAAGTGGGAACAAACCACATGTTCATCAATGATGAATGAATAAACAAAATGTGGTAGAGCCTCTCAGTGGAATATTACTTGGCTATAAGAAGGAATGAAGTACTGATAAATTCTACAACATGGATAAACCATGAGAGCACTCTGCTACGGGAAAGAAGCCAGTCACAGAAGACCACATGCATGACTCCATTTACACGAAATGTCAGAATAGGAAAATTTACGGAGACAGAAAACAGACTGGTGGTCGCTCTGGCCTGGAGGGGATGAGGGATAGGTGGCAGCTAAAAGGCACAGGGTTTCTTTTTGAGGTGATGAAAATGTCCTAAAATTGACTGTGGTGAATGGCTGCTCGACTCTGAGAATACACTGAAATCCACTGAATTGTAGACTTTAAATGAGTAATTGCACGGCATGTGAATGAATGATGTATCAATAAAGCTCTCTTTAAAAATAATACGGTAGGAAGAAAAACTACCCCGGCAACTTAGGACATTGGTTTCTCAGACTCTGCTAGTCCATTTCAGCTGATGAGCCTTATCATTCAGTATCCGTGACTGTGTAACATCCATCCCTTTGATCAGCTTCTTCCTCCCATTCCTTCCATCCTTCCTTCTTCCTGCCAACTCACACAGCCCATTTTCTGTCACTGAGAAAATAAACGCTGAGGTAGGAGGCACAGCCTTCTTGTAGCTGGAGGTGAGTTTTAGAAATCCGTGGGACCCCAGGCAGAGATGTCCACCCCACAGAAGGGAATTCAGGGCTGGGGCAGCAAGGGATACTGAAAGAGGCCGGTGGGCAGACGGGCTTCAGGACCCCACCTGCCAGGTGGACTTCTGTCAGGTCTCTCCCTTACCGACAGGGGCCAGCTGATGCAGGTGAGCATTCGGTAGAGGCGGAAGAGGTGGACCAAGTAAAAGACGAGGATCATGATCAAGTTGCAAATGGTGACCACTTCAAAGTAGCTGTAGGCACTGTAGCTGGTCCACACGGAACTCCTCACGCAGATGAGGGCAATCAGCAGGGTGACCTGACACACAGACAGAGACGTCAGAGAAGGGTCTGCCCCAGGCAAAGATAAATCAAACAATTCGATTTCATCAGAATAAACCTTTTTATATTTATAAAATGTTGCTCTCAGGGCACAAACAAAATAGCAGAAACACAAACTGCCACAGAGAATTGAGGAACTGCTATAGTTCTGGTTACTTCCTCACACACTGGCCAGAAGCTGGAAGAGTGCAATTTCCCACAGTTCAAGCTATTTAGATACATGCCGGTGGTGAATGCAGAGGGTGGCTTTGTCCTCTCTGGAGCCCATTATGTTGTGCACGCAGGATGCTTCCTCAGAGAGGGCAGAAGTGCAGGGTAAGAACCACAGAGTACCAGTCAGACCTCCACAGGGCAAAGATACTAGACTTGGGTCTACCTCTTAGGTTGAAATCACATATAGGAAGTTGCCAATATTTGGCTAGTTTTACAGACCCACAAATATGGTGATTCATACGTTACAACTACCAGTTGGCAGACAGTACGTTACCATTTACTGATGCCTGATGTACATGATCTCATGGAGGCCTCACAGAACTCTGCCAGGTAGACAAAAATCACCCCATGTTCATATGGGGGAAACCAAGGCACACAGATTCCATAAGTAGTCTAAGGCTACCCAGCATGTAAGCCTCAGAGGTGGAATCTGAACCCAAGTCCATTTGACTCCAGGAGCCATATTCCTCCCTGTCAGATGCAGCTTTACTTTCCAAAAATGTAAGCTCTCATTATACACAAGCTGTGGGCGGTGGACGTTCTCAAACGAGTGGGACTCCCAGTTACACGGGGAACTTGCTCACCACTGGGCATGTGGTGAGAGATGGCTGAGTATACTGCTGCATGAATAAGCGAATGAATTGCAGGATTCATCAGCTAGTGACCTCTCAATGCATTAACAGGTCAGGTAAATTAGCAGTAACATATGAACACTGTGGGAGAGTAAGTCGTTTTTGTGAAGGTCACTCAGAGAGCAGAATCTTGTGGGCTCCACCAAGGGAACAAGCCAACAGCACACAGATGCTAAATGTGTATAAAACCTTAGGATTTATTTTAAAAGCACAACTAATTTAGGACAAAGGTTATTTTACTCTGCCTCTTCCCTATGGAACAGTGACTCAAGGGTGTGTGTGTGCAATTTTCTGTCCTATGGGATGTTTGGCAATGTCTGGATACATTTCTGATTGCCACAGCTGGGCAGGGGGCTTCTCCTGGCATTTAGTGAGTAGACACCCAGGGTGCTGCTAAGCACCCCACAAGAGGCAGGCCCCATAACAAAGAATTATCTGGTCTCAAATGTGGCCCAAACTCTTGTGCTCTGTGGAGAAACCCAGCTGTAAAAATGTGAGTCTATAATGAGATCAAGTCACAAAATGGGTCTAATGGCAGTTAGAGTGATCAATGCTCAAAATACTTTATTTTCTAAAGCCCCTCATTTCTAGCACACTGGCAAGGGCCTCAGTCAAAGGTAATGACAGCTAGAGAAGAACTCTGCTTGACGCTTCACGCAGGCATGAAGAGGGCTCTGCTTAGCAGACTGAAGTGGAAGAGTGTGGCTCTGACACAAAGGGACCCTCAACATTTGCCTATTTCCCTTTGCTAATGAGCAACGTGCGTATTTTCATTTTTTCGGTTCCTCTCAAGCCAGTCAGCCCTGGTAATACAATGATTCAGGCCTTGAGGTTGTCTGAAACCTCTGAGGGGAGCCTCTGCCTCACACAGGGGGTGCCGTGACTGCCAGAGCTTCGCTGCCTCCTCAGTCCCCCTTCCAGGCCTCCTCTACCTGGAAACACTCTGGCTCTCCCCAGTCCTGAGCTGACCTCTTCCCCGCTTCATGCACTGGGGAATTTTTATTCAAGGCCTGTCTTAAAATGCAGATAACTCAGGATTATGCAGCATGATCCCTAGGTGGAGAAGCAATTTTATACCTATTTAATGCAAAAATTAGAATAATTTGTACAATTCTTCATCTGTGACAGAAGTCAGCTCTTTCTCGTGGTGGCACAGAGATGTGGGAGTTTCCCAATGAATGAAAGGGGCCAGGGCAGGTCTTCCCCTCTGAGCTCCCAGACCTGAGTCCTGTGTAGCGGTAAGTCCATATTGCTCTACCACAAACCGTCTCAAACCTCTCTGGGAAACTGCCTTGTGAAATAGGACTTCCCGAATTCTGTCTGTTTGGTCTAGGCCTCCTACTGTGTGCTATTTTTTGGGGAAGGCTGATTTTGGGAAATCTCATCTGGACAGCAGCGGGTACGTACTAATGAATACTACTGAAAGCTCCATTTCTGCCCATTAATTCATTCATTTCTACTTTAAATGGCCAGCATCTTAGCTAGTGCACCTAAAAAAAAAAAAAAGATTTAACTGACATTAAATTTTTCTGGGACTTTTCTAGGTAACCTCTGCAAATGCTGGAGACCCCTAAATGCTTTACATCAATACTCTGGGGGCAGCCAGAAAGGCAAAGCCAAAGAAAGAATGAGCAAGACAATAGTGGAGAAAATGCCCTGGGGTGCTGACCCCACCCCTCCCCCAACCCCCAACCTGGCTCTAGGACCTCTTCTTGTTCCCAGTTAGAAAAGCCAATCAACAAATATGACTGAATTCAGAGAAACTAAAGTGGGGGTTCTGATTTCAGGACTGTGTGAAGGATGCTGGGGATTTCTGGGAGATGGAGGTTCTGTTTAGAGCAACTTTAATGCGGTTTGTCCAAAGGACTAACCTGTTTTTCCTGGTACTTCTGGCTCCTCTCATAAAGGTTTGTTCTTTTACATTGACCTGTCATGAACACTGAAAATACAACAGCTAACATAAGTGTCCAGGGGTTTAAAAGTAATGTTGCAAGAGCCTCAACTCAAAGCAAGGGTCTCACAGACCAGCCATGGTGCTGTTTAGAGTCACTGGCATGACCTCAGATCAGAAAGCACCCCCCTCTCCATCCCACTGTGTCCTTTCTGACTCCATTCTAGCAGAATTCTTCTAGAAAAGAGATGATTTTTGTAAAGGCAGCACTGGGTGTCAGTTTCACAGCAGATCAGGCAAGCTGGTGTGACTTGAGAGAAAGGACGGTCCCCTGAGAACTGCAGGACTACAACAGCCTGGTCCTCACCCCACAGCCAGGAGCCACACAGCCAGCCAGGTTCTCAGCCTGGGTGGGTGTCCCTCAAGGAGCAAATAAAATGTTAGTGTCTAAGATGGAATACTTCTGGAGAAGACTCAAGAGGCAGTTCGCAGAGACGCCTTCTGAGCTGGGGGCCCCTGTCATCTGCTGCCTGTCTGTGCCCTGGGAACCTTCCCTCAGCAGGCCTGACCTCTGCATGCCCCTGCCACACCTGGCCCACTGAGGGTGCCTCTTTGGCTGGAGATGGCACCAGATGCCTTTTGTTTGAGAACCCCAGGGTGGGTGCCAGTAGGTCACCCAGCCCCACCCTCTCGTGGGGGTTTTTATTCTGACCTTGGAGTACTGTTTCAGTGAGACAGGACGAGGGGAAGCAGCTGATGGACGCCAACATCAAAGGGCCTCAGACCCAACTCTAGGAGGCTTTTCTGGAAAAGCCGAAGAGATGAAAGCCAAGCTTGTTCAAAAATCAGAGATGGGGACAATTCTATGATGATGTGTTTGCCCTCCTCCACTGGAAGCTGTACAGATGTGGCTGTTACCCTTGGGAATGCTGCCTGCATCCAGTCACCGGGCCAGAGGAGCTAGAAAGTGCGCTGCTACTTTCACCCCAGTTCATCCTCACACAAGTCCCAGCAGGTGAGTACGATTATCATTGTCCTTTTACAAGGAAAATGGCATAGAGGGTTTAAGCAATTTGCTCAGAGTCACACAGGCAGGCAGAGGAGCCAACTGGGCAGGCTGCTGTGGTCTCTGCTCCTCACAATACTGCTTTGCCTGCAGGACCTGCTTGTTTCTCTTCACAGCCCCTTCTCTCACCTTCTCTGGGAGCCCCTGGGTGTCCAGATGAGAGAAGGGAAGGCCTGCCCTGCCTCAGGTTCCCCACGTGCTGGAGAACAGGACTCTGGGACTCAAATCCAGGGAGGGCCTATTAGAAATGGTATTCATGACAAGTGTCCCGCTTAAATAAAAGTTACTCTAATCATACAATCAATACTTCTTCATTATAGAAAATTAGGTCATGAAAGTATTTAAGAAAACAAAAATCACTCATGATCTTTTTTCTCAGAGATTACCACCATCCTTGCATTCTGGAGTATTTCCTTTCCACATATATTTGTTCACTGTTGTTTCTCCAGTTGCCTGGAAGCCTGAATGGGTTCTCTATAGATATTTGTTGAATTTAAAAAAAAAAGAACAAATGAATGAATGCAATTTTATACCCATTCCTAAGGGCCTTCTCTTTTCTGGGCACTGTGGTGGGCCACATTCCTGTCACTTCTGCCCGGTGTCTAAAGGAGAGAGAGACAGGCAAGTACAGGGAGAGAAAGCCATCCCAGGGGAGGGTTCTTATGTTTAACATGTGGGACGAGACCAGGACGCTCGCTCTCCTGTCCATCCTGAACCAAGTAGTGGCTTTAAACCCAGAGGCAAGGGGTCATCAGGAAAGCAGTGTAAAACACCCACCCACACGTTCAGATGCACATCAGGCCAGGGAGATGCTTTGGTTTGAGACAAGCTGATCATTAAGCTCATGTCCTAGCCGAGGCCACCTCTGCCCCCTGCCATCCTGTGTGCACAGTTTACCTCTGGGCACACAGGGATCACGACTAATTCCCTGGGCATCCCTGGTGCCCAGCACAGAGTAGACCTTCAATAACGTATGTAGAATTTATACTGAATTTGGGGTTAAACTGGATTCTCAACAGCACCCCCAGTGTAATAATGCATCCTCTTTTCTGTATGCATTTCCTCTCGGCCTCTCAGAGGCTCTGGGGAGGCAGCTCTGAATGTGGGGTTTGCTCTCCTTAGGCATCAGCAGAAGAGGGGATGCCTGAGCAGGCACCTCCCTGACGAGCAAACAG